TACTCAGAAGATCAATAAAGTCCAGCTGCCGTACAATTTTCACTACCTCACTTGGTGCTAAGAGATTTATTTACCCTCGGGATCATTAAGGACTAATAAAAGGCTTTAAAACCATCACAGTCGCATAGGACAAAACTGTATGTCAACGCAGAAGGCAGAGAAGTAGTAGTCTGATAACTTTGTCACCTGTGAATTTACAAGGTGTCGTGTGCATAAACAAACCGTCAGAGGGTTGACAGGACTAGTGATTGCACTGCGTGTGCTACTTTCTCGATACAGCAATATGAAATCGGTTCCTCATGAAATGATGGACACTGGTAACAGACTGTCTGAAGCGACAATTAAAAACCGTCAGAGGAAAGGAAGTTACACCCAGAGGCAAAGCCTTGCCATGTAAAGCCAAGAGGCTATTAAGGAAAGATAATTTTGGAGCATCTTGTCTAATGATGGTGAAGAATACTTCGTAGTCGATATGGCTACAATACATAGACTAAATGGGCATGTTTTCCATCGAACTCTATCTTCCGGCAATAGATACTATAACAGCATAGATGCCTTCCATACGAGATACCCCTCCGAACCACCGTTCTTCAATCACAGGGGTCATAGTTTGAGGCAACGCAGCATGGCGAACTTCCAAATATCTTACATTTCATAAAGACCTAACCCTCATTAAGTTGTGCATCCTGACAATCCTCGTCACTACTTTGCGAACAAATATGCCCGCACGTCAAAAGCCGCCCTAGTTATGAACCTCATCAAAACATTTACGGGACCCTACGCAATATCCGGGACCCACAGCTTTTAGAATCGATCCACTCCACCCTACCCCACCGGAATTTGTTCCCCTCGGCAGCCACACTGTTACACCCCACTTTTGAGCCCCAGTATGTCCCCAGCATAAATTGCACACAGTGTACTGGATTTATCAAACAAAGTTCTTCTATTCCACCAGGCATGAGGGATACGGTGCGTTAATCCACTAGCCACAAGAACCGTCTTGCACTTCTGTTATTCAGCCTACGCTTGCTGCTTAAGGGGGTATCTGACTTGAGAATGTGGGTGTTAATAAACGAAACCCTCGCTTTACTGGTTGCTGAATCATGGTGTCCTACCTCAGTCCTAGATGTAGACTTGTGCGTAGATGGCCATGCCCTACATCGCACAAAGTGTGACCATAAACATGTTGGAGGTTGCCTGATTTATGTATATAGCCAGTATACAGTCAGTACATAGTAAGTAAAGCTGAAGATGATATTCTCAGTGATCTACCCGACACACTCTAAGTTCATTTGAGCGGTACCAACTAAAAAATCCAAACAGCCCATGTGTACAGAGCACAGTATTTAGAACAGGATACGTAGCACATGCGGGATCCCTCACCGTCAACTCTAAACTGATCGTGACACACTCGAGTTTCCTTGAAGTTAACGGTAAAGCGGGTTGCGGTCCACAACGCTTTGATGAAATAATTACCGTCATAAATATCCATGGGTCGACGTAACACATCCAGCCACCTACACGCGGAGGCAATATATTGAAATGGTGGGGAGAATATTCGTGGCTTATGTGAATGATCTTGGTTAGAAGCTGCCAACCTCCGCTTATCATTTTCGGGTTTTGCCGACAACCGTTGCCCGGACAAAAGACAAGCTATCTAGCTCTGCCATTTTCATGCATATTCACCAATTCAGCTGCTCCTGCGGAGAAAGCTGCATTGGGCGTGCAACTGGGCAGCTTAGCAAACTTGTTGCTAAGCCCCTGCCGTCATGGCTAGGAAATGGATAAGTGAAGTCAATGCGAAGTTCAATTCTGTCACATTTAGTTGCCGGTGGTCACGTAACAGACAAGACCGAAACGTTCAAGATCATCTATCGCACTCCGCAGAATCCTTTGAACAGAAATCATACCCTCATTTCGCACATGGCTGAGGCAATGAGAATTAAAGAACAAAAACCTAGTATTTGTGTGCAGAAAAAGTCTGTGCAACCTTTTTCTCTGCCTTGGCCAGAGGAAACTTGATAAGTAACTTCATTTCGGAGGTAGTACTCATCATAAGACTGGGAACCACTGAGCATCTGGGAGCACCGGACAGCCGTTTCGTCCTGGTGAACTGACAGACGTAAATCGTGAAGCTCTGAAGACCGACCCAGTGGCCGAATGGTCATCGCGTTCACCGCAAACCCTGGAGGTCCTGAGTTTGACCACTGCCGGGTCGTGGGTGCGTACTGCTGAGTAGTCTTATGCTGCGACGAAACAGCTGTCCGGTGCTTCCAGATTTATGATGGTTCCCTAACTCATGCCAGCCCGTGACGAATACTACCTTTAACTTAAAAATACCCATTCATCTCAAAAAAAGTGATCTTACACAAGTTCAATTTTCATCCTCTCAACGTTTCTTCACCCCTTTCACGCACGTTTACCTGTTTGTTTAGACTTTGATTATCTACACCTTTCAAACCTCAGTGTTATATAACTTTTGTTTTCCTAGGCTTTGATCGACATTGTTTGTTCAAATACTTGCAGTATAACGATGCTCCCGTTGTTCTTATCATCATTAAGATAACTGTTATTGTTGCAGTTATAAGTCGCATGCTTAATTTCCTAACTACCGCGGACTAAATAATTCACCTTGATTGGTTTGATGTTTTGTATACGACAAAGCTTATGTATATTAGCGTGAAGCCCGACCAGAACTGATTGGAAACGATATCGTTCGCTCGTGTGTCCTCTACTAATTTTGAAAATGGGAATTTCTAGCATTCTTGGGTTCATTTTTCTCCGTTTTGAGCCTATCAAGGGCTAGATGGCATCCTTTGGATGACACGGGTAGACCTGCGCTTGTGACGTGATTCATAACATTCCTGGTTGTTGTAATTCTGGGTATTTCCCTAACACTTCTCGATAGGACATGTCGCCCGCGTGTCTAGCTCTAATGATGGCTAAACTCGGACCTACGTAGATGGTCCCGCCAATAGATGACTTTGCTGTCATCCATCAGTCGTCAACGGCGAGGATCTACGACCAGATCGTAATGGTTCGGCAAATTTATGCCAACGATGGGCATGGGAGCTTCAGGTAGAGGGAAAATCCAGTGAACAGGTTTGCACAAACCTAAGTCGGGGTAGGCATACCGCCTCCCAAATGATGTGAGCGCCTTGCACTTGGCTGCTTGAAGATTGAAGGATGGGCCATGATGATGGTCCCTCGTAGGTGCGGGAGGAATGCTAACTTCTGCGCCGGTGTCGACGAGGTGGAAAATTTTCGTTTTTATACCGGTGACGTGGAGCAAATAGCTTTCTTCGCCAGCTACGGTTGCCGTGAACGCGTGCCAGCGTGAAAGTTTCCCGAGTTTGTGTCCATGTTGAAAGTGCATGGCTTCCGGCATTTTCTGGTTTCGCCCCCGTAGACACTGTAAAACCAGCACCACTTAGGGTTTTCCACTCTGTTAGGTTTAATTTTTTGATAACCATGCTAGTTGCTGAGATGGGCTGAGATGAGTTTCCGTGATGTGCTACGTAACCTAGGGCTTCTGGTCCGTAGCAGCTGCTTCGGAGAGTTGCACAGCTCGTTTACATCTGAATCCTGGTTCTCAGGTTTATCGCAGACAGCATATACTTTGGAGACGGGTCTGCTAGAGATCTCCAGCATTTTATCTGCCAGCTTATCCAGCGGAACTGGCTGAAGTGTCACCAACATCGACTGCACAGGTTGTGGTAGTTCCGCGAGAGGCGGTTCTCGGGAACGCTAGTATGCTCACAACTTCTCGCATGCGTGCGAGGACTTCAGCAGCTGAGTTGTCACCCAGCTCAATGTTACGAAGCAATTCATTTAGGTGTTGGCGACCTGTGAGATCACTTTTCTCCAGTAGTGCAGCTTTGGGAAGTGCATAAAGATCACTCATTTCAGGACTAAATATATAAGCTGCAGCATGCCTGTCTAATTCCCATGTTAGTGAACGTATGGCAGCAAAAAATCGAGAATGAGGATCTGCGACTCCTTGTTCTGGAAAATCTCCCTCGGCGTACAGAAACCATTTTTCCGCATCGTCCAACCAGCATAACTGGAGTCAGATATTGTTAGTCACTGGCTTCATACGGATAAGCTTCGGGGTATGGTCGTACATGGAAAGGATACATAAAGGTTATCAAAATGAAATTGATGTACAAGTAAAAAAAAATGGAACAGGTTCACCAATTCAAGATTTGCTCCTGGTCGGGATTTGTTATCACATTGGGCTCACCGATTTAGGAATTGTCCTGGTATGAACTTGACAGGTGTAGAGGCCAATCACCATTTATTCAAACTTCTTATATATCCACGAACACGAGAGCAAGAGAGAACACAACAGCGCAGCCGGATGGAATATTACATTTGCGACGTCGTGTCAAGATACCGATGCGTTCCAACTAACTGGATTGAGGGTCGATTCCGAGCAGCGCAACGTAACACGACAGAGTGCCAAATGGCGAGGATGCTTGACTGTGAGGCTTAAGCCTGGTGAGTCCAGTTAAACTATGAATATCAGCATCAGTGTTGGATCTCGTTGAACCCTAGGCTATTGATTCTGGAGAAACGTGCGATTCTGCAACTTCTTTTAACCATGTTTTCTCTCACATCTCTCTTATTTCAGCTGAACAACTTCTAATGCTTTACATCCTCTTTTACAGTCATTCCGAAAAACTCTGCGGGGACACAATAGTCGAAGAACCCATCTGCACCAAAGTTTCCGGAAAAAGTTTACAACACCTCGAAATTTATTCAATACCACATCCCGCGTCGGGTACACGAGAACTACCACAGGAGAGTCCGTAGACCTACTGAATCGGAAAAAACCAAAGAACTGGAGCCATTGTGCGAAATCTAGATGCAATCCGGAAGAAATGGAACTATTTGTATTAGCTTGTTAAAAGATATTGGATATTGCATTACTGAGCTACGCTAAAACCTTTAGATTGGACATTGTACTATGAAATCAGTTTTGAACATCTGCGCTAGCAATGAGAGAACACAAGAGAGGTATGTTTTCTGTCATTCCTTCACTACATATGTCATAAACCCTTTAATTACTATTTCTAATAACGTTTCGGTAGTCATATGAACGTTTGCATTTACTATTAACGTGGTCAAGAGATGCAGATTTTACATATATCGTCAAATATTGTAATAATAGTTTTTAACGTTGAAATAACGTTTGGGATTTGAGGATAGTAGAAAATCTTCGTTCTAAATAGTTCACTCATCAGGCTTTCATGCAACCCTTTCATCTAGTTATATATATATATGCCGCACAACATTTTTTCCCAGATCTGAAGGTTTTGAACACTTGTAAATATTCATAAAGGAGATTTTGATTTTGAAATCCGGATTTAGCTCTAGTGAAGTGACTACAAGCGTCAAATCGAAATTTCCTGCATGACCTTTCTATCCGGACATCAATGTGAGAGGTTAGAATTCTTCGATTCATTGATTTAAATTCATTCGCTAAATCAGTAGTGTCGTATTTCTAAATCTATTGTGCAAACGGAACTTGTAAACGGTTTAAAAACACCTTGAAGGATGAACGATAACCGTAGAAGTTAAGGTCGATAAACTGTTGTTTAGGTCTACAACAGTTGTTCACTAAGGTTATTGTCGGGTTCTTTAGATCGTTTTACACATTTGCTTATATGGAAGTTCAGTGGTGTCTCATCTGTTATTATTCTCTACTCATTAGTGAATGTGGCTATAGCTAAGCTGTTAGGATTCCACGGAATCGTCCCATTTTAACTGGATGAAGTTTAACTATATGGATTATCGACTTTCAGAAATTGAACAAGTGTTTCAACCGCTATCAACTCTCTGAAGGTCCCCTGCTTTGTAGACGAAAAACCATTTCCATCCTAGATACACCTGCAACATCGGAAGTGCCTCAGCTTTTGAATATACTTTCTTCAACCACTGGGTCTTATGTTGCTGCGGTATATAGATCCTGTCAAACATTAGCTTTGAAAAAAGCCCGTTTCTTCGAAAAAGTTTGCTTCTTTCTTCTCATGCTCTTAAAACACCACCCCAATCATACTCGTCTTGTCATCATGATAATTAGCGAAGTGCACCTACTTTTCGTTTACTCACCCACTGATGTTACCTTAAATTTCTTGTTCTGAAGATTTATCAGTTCCCCTTTTTGCTGCAATATCCATTGACATGCAAGTGCCATTTTAGGAGAGTTATAATAAAGAGTTACTTAAGTTCCCTACCTTCCTTTTGTTTCCCTTTTGGCTATTAGCTTTACTTAACCACATGAAACAGTTAGGTGCGTGGATGTGCACAACTTCGAGAATTGCAATGATGGCTTATAGTAAGACCCTTGGCGTACCTTATCATAAACTAATGTGAACCTTCTTTCGAATTAATTCCTAAAGTAAATCATGCCTTATTCTAGTTGTCGCGTTCTGCTTCTTTTGCCGAGAAATTGTGTATGAAATCAAGCTTGCATCACAGCGTGAAGAATGCTTAAGATACCCCGTTTTTCCCGGTGACGTACTTAATGTCGCTAACAAACCAAAGTGAAACAGTTTTTAACAAATTGCGGTCAACCAACCAGGTCTATGTTTTCACCCTTAAATTCCTCCAATTAGTTAGTAGTCGACTAGAGTTTCCCATCAATAGCTACCCGAAGTTGTTTGCCTAGAAGTCAAATTGTGGTGGAAACGCCAACCTTGTTCAGGAACTTCGTATAACACGAATTAGATTGTTCACCTTATCCTTGTCGCCATATTTCTTTGGCATCGTTCACCCTATAGATTTCGGGATATTCGAGTTTTCGTGAATTCACTGGAGCACCAAAAACTACTAGAGCGGAAAGCACATTCCAAGACCAAGATCTAAATGATGCGTTTATTTGCTATCGTTTCGTATTATTCTGCAAGACCGTCCACTTACTTTTCTCATTTATACATTTGTTGACTAATTTAGTAGATAAGTTGTAACAAAAAACATTATCTTCGTTGCAAAAGATTGGGAGTTCGAACACTTAATTTCACAGACGATCCGACAACTATTATTGTCATTTACAATATTGTCAATTAGTCGCTTCTTTCCGGTCAGCAATAACTTTGAGCATTGTCTGACAGCGGGTTTTTAAACCAAGCCTACTGTTTAAAAAAGTAATTGGAGAACTACTGGGCTTCGATTGCCTGTTTGAACTCAAGTCACAGTCTAAACCTGTATTTTAGCCTGACTGAAATCAGACTAAAGTTGTTAAAGGCCAATAAGTCTCTTTAAATATATTTAAACCAATATGCAAAACAAATAACCTTACAAGATGCTCTAACTTCAAATGACCAGGAAATTTTGTAACGATGGTGAGCACTGATTTGTTTCGCAAGCGACAGGTTAAAGATACTCTGATAATGAGTACTGACAAGCATAAAATTTTGCTCCAAGGTTTCTGCTGGTTTGCTCCAAAACCTATGGCGTACATGTTTGCAAATAATCACAAAACCGCAAAGTATCGAATATCCCGAGTACTAGTTAAGAAAGATAAGTTAATTAGATAGTGAACGTTTATGGCTTGACTTAGCTGCTACGGTTACTATACATGGTGACTTACCATGTGGTGCCAATGCACAGCTTGTTTAGGAGTTAAAAGTGACTAAATCAAGACCTGCATTTTGTGCCAGGTTTCATTAGAAGTTGAAGCATTTGATGTTTACTGGTGGATAATTTTCTAAGATTAAATCACAATTGGAATGAATGTTATTTGAATTATTGAAAACCACTTGGTTTGAAATAAATATTTCACAACTATTGTTACCTTACAATACCGAGTGATATTTTACTTATTTTCGACTTCAGCTGCAATCCCATCAGGAGATCTTATTTCATTGGGTACGTTTCTCGCATGCCCTTGTTAAATACTAAAAATTTTAGGAAGCAAATCAAAGAAAGTGTCTGTTTCACATGGGAACCCTGTAAAAAAGGCTAAAACGCAGTCGGTAGAAGGTAAGACTCAAGTCAATTATGTCAATCACAGTCAATTGCATTTCCATACTTTTATTTATTCGTCGAACTACTCTGATTTTCAGTTGATCCGTCAGAATTAGTGACTCGAGTGGAGGCAGCTTTGTCTACTAGTGACAATAATTTGGCAGAATCTTTAATAATTGCAGCACTGAATCAAATAAAGATTAGTTCTGGTCACGGAACTTTAGCTACTTCTTTAACATCTGGTTCCGATTTCCGTCCAGCTTCTAGTAGCTCGGGTTCACGGTTACTGGTTGGTGTTTCACTTGGCGTTTTGGTACTAGCACAGGATCATCCGAACCTATTTACTCGTCCTGCTGTTTTGGATCAGCTTATCTCGATTTTATCTCTTAGTCCAAGAGAGCTTGGAATATCCTTACCATCAACTGCTGTCACCACTATCATGGCACGAGTTCGTGGTCTTCATGTAAGTTTTTTGCGTACGTCATGGAAGTTAGAACTGAAGATTTCGTGTAGATTGTTCGTTTCTGTTGACCAAACCACTCAGTTTTGTAGTATTTAAGTATTCATGCTTGTAAACGTTTACCAAACATTTAGCGAAATCCAGGGAATTTAAATTAATTCCTTCTCAGACTGTTCGCATAAAATTCTGTCCTTGTATTTTGTCTGTCAATCATTCAGGTGGGTAAAAAGGAATTTATAAAATATTTTTGCTTGCCAGTAAAATAGGTATATCCTTTTTAAAAGCCAATGGTAACAGCAAAGTTGGTACCGAAAAAATTGGTTGTGGTTTTAGGAATAAAGAACAAAGCCTGCATGGTGTTTCTTTATTAATACTAGGTTTCTCGCACGCTAACTACTCATATGTCAAAACGTTTGTACAGTTATCTTTATGATGTATTGCTGCATCTAAATCACAAAACTTTTATTTTTATGACAATATTTTTAGCACAATTAAAACTAATGATGTGTTTCTATATTGCATGCCAGGTTCTTATCGCGAATATACTGTACTTGGCCTTAAGCACTCAAGCTAAATGGCCTTCGAAACTAGTAAAGGTTAGTTTTGATATCTCTGAGTTAGTTTTAAATTTCGCTCACTATATTTTGATGACAATAGTTTCAATGCCTGCACGTTATTTAAATCTACATAGTGAGAACTTGTATTACTTTCATTCTTCAGGTTTATTTAGAAGACAGTTTGACCAACCGAGTTTGGGTTGACCAAGATGAATGCCGTTTATTCGTGTTGAACTTAGAAACTGCATTTCCAAAAACTTTCGGTGATCCCCGAGGTTTATTTACAGTACTGTCGTCCAATCAAAATGGATCAGTAGGAGCTAGTCAATCTGGTGGTATCGGTAATTCCTCAACTTCTGCATCATCAGCAAACGCAGTACTGAATGTATTAGGCTTCACGGGTATTCAGCCGCCACTAGCGTCGAACCCCTCAGCATCAGTTTCGCTCCATTGTGATAAAGATGAAATAAGTGATGCAGTTTCAAGTGTCCTGAAAAACCAGTCGAATACAGTTTCCAGAGTAAGTAAGCTGCATATGATCTAGTCATATTTTTAGTAGTATATAGATTGAGATTAATCCATTTTTACAGCAAATGATCTTTTATGTTACATGATAAATTGTGATTATTATAAACTACAAAACTATGTATTGCAGCATCGATATCAACTGATGAGGATATTTGACTTCATTGGTTAGGTTACTATTTCCTGCGTTGGACACAGAAAAACGAAACGTGTAACTCTTTCTTAGATTGCTGCTTAAAGTTGTCTAATAAGCGTCTATCTGACACTGACACATGGTATTCATCGTAATTGTTTAATACATGTATAGTATGAAAATTAGTTCTTCAAATTACTCAATTTTTCATAAAGAAAAGTTGTGCGTAGTTCACACCTAGGAGATTGTTATTCTAAATGTATTGAATGCATATCCTAATGAAGGAATAATTTCGTACCTCTGAAATCGTACCAATGAAAAGACAGTTAATACCTCCACCTTTTCTCACTTGAATACACGTATAAAGAAACGTGTCGATGTTGAACAAGTTCATACAATGTGTAGATTTAAATCTACCTAACTAGGTAAATAGGTTTCATAAATTATGTTCTAATCTCTTGTCGCTTTTCTTACCTAATCTTAGTTTTATATATGATCACTTGAACAGCTGCATTTTTTGAAGGGTTATAGATTGATATTTCTCCAATAAAACTGTAGGTATAAAATTCTGATTTTAAACTATGAATTGACCCTGTGAAATCCTCAGGTAACGTTATGTTTTGTGTAGTTCTTAGGTTATTACAAAGTAATCACTTTTGAGTTCATCAATGCTATCTCTGGAAATACTGTGTTGTGTTTGCAGGTAATATAGAATCTGTCAAAGTTGTCATATTGACTACGTTGATGGGGTGACTGTTTACTTAAAAGTGGCGGCGAAAGGTATCAATAGCTACCATAGGAACCCTACCTCTAATCCACTGGAGCTGTGGGCCACTGGTTTAGGTAGTTGACTTTCAATCAGTGGGTTAGGGATTGGGACCTCGCTCCACCTACCGAGGTTTGGACAGCCAGATAGTATCATCAGCACTCACACGATAGGTATGACTCATTTCTCACTGTATGAATCTGCACGTGGTTTCCAATAGAACTTTAGATTTCAAATCCCCGGTCGCAGAGACACCTGACTTTTCCAAAATAACTGTCATTACCCTAGAATGATGCTATTATTATGAGTCCTTGAGATGGTCTACTTAATGCATTTTAAAATAAATAACATTAATTTGTGTCCATAATTTTAATTCAATGGCATATGGAACAGCTAATTCGTTTGAATTCTTCTATCTTATCTTAAAAGTCCATCAAATCCTAAGGGTCTAGTTAAAAAATTCATTGTAAAACAAAGAAAAACAATCATCCTTTGTTCCTAATTGGCAGGTGATACTCGGTTAGTGGAATAACTCCTGAAGTTGGAACTATTTTCTCTCTACTGTTAAATTTGGCCTGTATGGCAGTAAAGTGATGATTATATCCCTAAATATAGAAAAGTTTATCATACATATCTCAAAGTTTACTGCTAGCTGTACTGATAAGTGTGAAATGGCGCCGCATAAAAAAAATTAATCAACTACTCAGCAATCCACTCTTAAGGATTCCTTGGTTTCAGTCAGTTATGATCCACAATATTATTCTTATCTGGAAACTAGTAGATTCACCTTCTCAAACTTTTATGGTTCAGAATGTTCTTCATATTGGTCTGGTACGCTTGTTTTTCTACAGGTTTTCTGATGCAATACAGTTCGGTTAGTTATTGTTTCGAACCTAACTTTCGCTTCTGTTTGGTTCCAGGTAATTCACGGTCCTGAAATAAATACCCATGTTTCACCTCGATTTGAGACCTGTCGTCAAGCTGTAGAGGTTATAATTATCAACACATTAAGAGACGCTCTTGGTAGAAGAAGTGGAGCTACTCCGTCCACTTCTCAACCAAACACACCAAATTCTAATAATGCACCATCATCCCTCATGTCCTCTTCTCCATCAGCTTCAGTCAGTGGTGGAGATGCTACACAATTGAAGAATCTTCTCCGTACACTTGGAATGGGAGCTGGTATCGCTGAGATCCGAGGGCTTGTTGCAACAAGGCTGGAACCATGGCTAACAGTACGTCCATTCAAGAAACTTTTTGTGTTGATCTAAGTTAATTTTGCATTTTTATGTAGATTAAAATGATGTTCCATCGCTGAATGCACAACATATCAGTGTATGAAATCCCAAAAACATTCTGCGTATAACACATTAGTTTTGTTACTGCATTTATTTTGAGGAAATGCGATAAAGGTTTTGGTTTACTACATCAAAACCATCATTTTTAGAACCGAATTTCCCACACTTTAGAACGCCAGCAGTCATTTACTACAGCCTAAATAATCCAATACTTCAGGTTACAGCAACAAGTTGTAACCATCTGTTAAGTAGTGGGTTTTGTTCTCTCGATGGTCTCCTAACATAGGAATCACCGTAAAATATGTGAGGATCATATCTATGGCATCATTACATTACGGATGACTAAAGAAAATTGTGTACGTTTGTTTGAGTAACAAATACATCGGGCAACACTGTCAATTTAAGGAACTGCATTCGAATATATAAACCCAAGGTATCCTATCATCACAAGATTCTTCTTTTTTCGACATATAGTAGGTGTAGAACTAGAGCAAGTTGTTGTAACCACGTAACGGAAAACACCATCAAATGACTACCACAGATCATACACCCACACAACACAGCAGCTCACATAAAAAGGCAAAAATTAAGAATTCAAAGAAATTTATTGTTTGAGAAAAGGCAGAGAAGTTCGGGATGTAGTTCATTCACCTTATTAATTATTTTCCAAGTTGGTACTAACTTCGTTTTTCTTATCGTTTTCCAGTTGATTAATTTAACAAGGCGCTAACAGTAAAGTGATAAGTCGAGGTTGATATCTGTTTATTAGTTTATGCATAACCTAAAAGGGTGCCTAACAAATATCATTTTGTGTATTGCGAAAAAGTTGCTAGGTTTTTTCCAGATGCATTTCATAAAGTTTGAAGTTCTTGGGTCATATCATCGTTAAAACTGAACAGTTACATTCTGAAACTTAGAGGTCTATTGACTTTGCTTTCTCGCAAACCATAGTATTTCTACATCCCACCAACCAAAGGAATAACACTCGTTAACTGAAGTCATTATCTGTGCTTTTTGATAATCCATATTGATTCCATTCACCTTAAAGTTCGAAGTGTATAGTGTTATTTAACCATCCACTACATAGATCTCCTTGCAACTGATGTAAGGAAGCAATAAAATAATGCATTCACCAATTTATTCTAGTTTAATAAAGTCTCAAAATCAATCAATGAATCTTTGATAATCACAATTTTTGTATATACAGCTGAAAGGTTGAAGTTCACTTTAAAATAAAGCTTGATGCAATGAAATTTGATCCTCATCTGTTTCTCACATTGAAATTGTTCATTCTCGTTGACCACTGTGACGTAACTCAGAAGATACGACAAAAAGGATAAGAAATACAGACTTATCCTTACGAATTAATTATCATAAGCTACACTTTACTTGCTGTATTTGGGACACTTTAGTAATCTGTGATAAAATGTCACTCTCTTTCTTTTATTTTTTAGAACCCTAAATTACAACTTTATGGTCTGGGTTTGTTTGCATTACTGGCCACTAACTGTCGTTTGGGTGGTTTGTCTCCACATGATTTGGATTTCATGATTTCAAGCGTATATCGTATTCGCTATAAACTATTAAAACCCAATGTTCAAGTAAGTTTAATCCTGTGTCTGTAAAAGGAACTGTCGTCGTTTAGTAGGTAATGTTTCTTTATTATCATGCCTCATCGACACTCATGTTGCAGAATCAGCAATATCAATATTGATAGAATAGTCTGTTCATGGTACCATTCAATGGGAAAATTCATTGACTCTATGAAGCTATTTCAACTTGACGTGCGGTCGAATAAGCGTTCTTGTCATATTTTACCGAATAACTTCATAAGTATTCAGAAAACTGCATCCATTTGCACTAATACCAAATTCTTAAAAAGGACTTACAAGCTATAAGTCCAGCGTTTGAACGTTGCTCCAACTACTTCCATCTGGGCAGTGGGTAGCATCATAAGTCCTCACGAAACAAGTTTGACTCAGCCCAGTACTTAAACCTGTACCAGGTCGAATTATACTAATCAATATTTTATTAAGGATGTCTAGTGTCAACTTCACTTAATACATAAACTTCAGGATCAAAATTTGACCTGATAGAGTTGAATAATTTGAGCATTGGGTAAATGGATTATAAATGAAGTATATTTGTAAAATCCCAATGACGTAGAAAAATAAATCTCCGACGTTTCGTGACTTCGTGGAAATCGCTTCTTCAGAGGACAAAACCCATACAAGTTATCGCTTGTTTGAATAGTAAACGGTGAAAATCCATTATCAAGCGATAACTTGTATAGGTTTTATCCTCTGAAGAAACGATTTCCACGTAGTCATGAAACGTCAGAGACTTATTTTTCTACGTCATTGGGATTTTACAAATATATTTCATTTATAATCTCTTGCTACATTGTGAGAATCAAAATTTCTTTATATATATATATATATATATATATATATATATATATATATATATATATATATATATATATATATATTGATAAGCAGAAGGTTCATAAAAACTAGTTATACACATTACTATGGAAATATTTCATGTCTCACAGCAGATGCGTAGTCAGACACTAAACTTTATATAAATCTGACTTGGTGCTCAACTTCTTCCAAGACATTTGTGACTACTAGTGATTGGATGTTTATAAACTGAATTTAATATCTTACACTAAATCCACACTTTTATCAAAAGGTGTGAAACTTGTATCACAATGGTTCCGGACTACCCAGTTCGGTGTGTTAGAGAGTGTATACGCTTTCGCAGTTAGATAGACCTGACTATTTAATTTTATAGACAGATAGACAAAAGCAACATAGAATCTCACACACAAGTCTGTCTACTGAGTGAAAATTTGATCAATGCACCCTCTTTCAGGTCTGAAGCCTGTCTGGTTTCCTTGAGTTCGTTGTTCTTGAGCTTTAGTAGACGTCGGATAACTAAGGACCCATGAATCTTGAACTTAGTTTCATTGGCGAGCTACTTTATGAGTTCTAATTCAATGAAAAATGCGATTCCTTTACTGTCAAGTAAAAAAACGAAGTAATCATTCATAAATTTAAATAAATATACTACTATGAACATATACTTATTTAGATGCTCATTCCAGTCAGTATTCTTTTCTTGTTTTCCTATCTTGATACACTCAGACTGCTTTTCTTGAATGCATCAGCCATTTGGTCAAAGCAGCTCCTATGAACCTTTATTGTATGGTAAATTTAAGCTCAGCAGCTTCAGAATTACGTTTTATATCAAATGCCAGTGAATCTAGTCAGATAAATCAAAGTATAACTTCTGTTGTCATGAAAGTTGCCGAAACTGTTCAAGCTCTTAGTACAGAAGGTGGTGGCAGCAGCAGCAGCTTAAACTCCGGTCTTATGTGTCAGCATAATAGTATGAATTCTGCAGGTATTGCAGCAGTCGCTGCCAATGCATCCAGTGCGTCGAGCAGAGGTACTAGTTCAGCTGGTGTATTATTACCTTTCCTTTATCAACGATTTGGATCACATTGGATTCGTGTAAGTATTTTTTGAAAACATTTTTACTTGTGATTTCAACCGGATCAATTAAGTAAACTGATTTTATCGTATTCATTAGAGTTTATCATTCCTGCTGCATTTGATTTGTTTCGGGAGGAGAGCTAACTTCATGAAAGGTCTAAGTTTTTCTTAGGTTTATATCCGTAGATAAAATTGTATATCAAATATTTCAAGAATTTCTCTCTGTCAGTAAACTATTCATTTTGTTTCTGTTCTGCGACCGCAAAGTATTTTGATACTTTGAGTATGGTAAGAATCTGCAAACTCACCAAAAATATACATAACGACTAAGAGTGAGCATTTGTGAGGAATGTAAAAGACCTCATTCTAATGTCATCTGCCATCAAATCTTCGAATACTGCAAAGTATTTACTTTATTTATTTAAGTACTTGACAAAACCAATGTGGAATGGCAAGCCAGGTGATCTCTTTCAACCAAGTCAATATTAGGATAGAACCAGGTGTTACTACGTAACAGTCTTAGTTGCCACACCTCATATCAGTAAAGTAAGCAACAAGGTGGTGAGATGAAAAAGAAAGAAAAAAAGAATAGTCAGTCAAAAGCAGTAGAAAGCGGTAAAAGAGGGGAAGGAGAAATGAGAAAATTCTGAATTCGGTGTAGCGATCACAATGAAGATAAAGCGTTAGTACACCTACCGTACTAACACCGATTCTGGGCTAGTGTACATCTCCCTACATGTCTCAAATCAGTAGTCAAGGACCTTTTTCAGTGGCACCATATTCTAATGTGGCCACCCTGAACCTTTTCCCAACCTACACCCACTTCAGCCAACATTGCAGGACGAAGTAGACGATGATCTCTTTGATCGAAATGGTGAAAGTTTTCCGGTTCAGTTCAGCCAAGATTTCTTGGTTGTCCATGTGACTGTACCCCTGTAACATGGCTCAAACTTGTTACTTCCAACCTGTTGATCACAGGTCGAACCTAACTACCACCTGCCGAAATTTGGACAGCCAGACAGTATCACCATTACTCAAACAATAATTGTGGCATGTAACCCAATGGGAAAGCATGCATTTGTTTCCTAAAATGCAATGTGCTTATCAACCATTACTCATTTAGCTTTTATCCAGCCGCAAACCCAACAGAAGATTGATGATAATTTGCCAATCATTAGTGGACAGAATCTTCATTGGCTTTATGTAAAAGTCATTGGGAACTGTGGTTCGGATTCAGATTTTAATTTGACAAAAGATTTAGTCGATCTATAAGAATTGTGTTTCCTCATTTGATTGATTTCAAACACTGACAACCTTAATATTTTCCGTAGTGAAAAAAATTATAGGAGAGATAAATGTGACTAATGTAGGTTCGAGATTACAATGCTCACTCGCCACTTGGCTTTTCTCAGCTTTACTGAAGAATAAAATCTGAAACTGAATAAATGTGTTTATCAGGTTACTACTTTCTCATTCGTTCATTGAAACACGTCTGCAAATAACGACTCTCTGTTATGATCATATATTTCGATCTCAAGCAGTTATTCGATCTTGGTTACAGTGATACAATGTGAAGCCTTGTTCTCAGCATAGACATGGTTCTAGACACAGTAAGATGCATTCGTAGATAGTAGTTGTACATATATTTCCAAGGTGTCCTTTAATGAACATTATCACCGAAGGAATGCCATTGCTATTCAGGCTACCAACTATTTGAAAATACTTTTTTCTTCAGAATGTAACCTAGAATTTTTTTACATCACTATTTCAAATACTTTCAACTTCTCATAGGGAATCGAAATTGAACCTATAAGGTTTGTATTCCCAATAGTTAAGTGCAAGTCATCACTAGTTGTGTAAGCAATATGTATATTCACTGTTGTTTATTTTGAGATTATTTATTAGCTGCCGGTTGTAACAGGAAATTATTAGCGGTGAGATATTATTTCCTATGGAGTTTATTTTTCTGTTAATTCCTTTGTTAGGAGTTGCGTCGTAATCATATATCCCGATCATATTTAACTGATGAGTTAACAAAATACTACATTGATCCCTGAATACTATCTATCCCAATTCGACAAATGAGCGTTGTGACGTGAAACATTTTCAGTGGTAAAAATTTAAATTAACTTAGCAACCTTACGCATGTCCTTGCACTAGACCATAAGTTTTACCTACTGTTTAAGAACTGGTGCTATTAACTGGCTATCTAAACGTCAATATGTAGAGCAGGTTGTAAACCAGTCAAACACCTAGACCAAATAGACTTCTGCTCCACAGCTATTCTTACAGTATATTTTCAGTGGAGGACGTGCATTCATATTTAGAAGTTTATCCTATAAAGACTGACTTAGTTTTTTACACTTGTCTTTCATAAATCTTGTTTTTCAGTTTTCATCCATGTTTGCCTACTAGTAGTACTGAGTCACTTCTGAAAAATTCCTTATTAATATGCAATATTAATACATCTACCCTATTTTCCATTATCTAAACTGATCTGTGTAGTTTTATTACTAATTAGAGTAACTATTGTTTTAGTAGCTACAGTTGCTTACTATTTCTAAAGTTACTTATTTCATTTACTATGTATTCATTCGATTGCTGCTTTCTTCTAGATTATTGGAGATCTACTTAATGAGCGGTTGATATTAACTTCCTTGGCTACTGCTACCCAAGCATCTCACAATGCGTTAACTGAATCACAATGGTATGATGATTTAAATACTCGACTATCGCCAATTTATCAATTTCTGCGTGAATTGGCACGTTTTACCCGTAGTGAAGGTGATCGATCTGTTGCTAGTTCTCCCATAACGTCTCAAATTTCTTTGCTTCAATTACAGCAAAATTATTTACCATGTGCAGAGCTTGCTTTCGCACTACTACAAGATCGTTCATTTCGTGGTGCAACTAGCGCTTCAACAGCTGTGAATGCTGTAGTAGCGTCACTCACCCAACAAAAGAATCATTCACAAGGAAAGTCTACTCCAGAAAATGCAAAAATTGATATCATCGCCTTTCAGTGCTATTTACACGGTTTAATAGGCTTAGTTTGTGCCTTACAAATGTTATCAGCGAACAGACCATTTCTTAGTAATACACCTACTACTTCTAGGCGTACAAGTAAGTTGGAAAACTAGTTTTTTGTATTATAATCAAATATTATTTTGTAATTGGACTAGCTTTGATGCAAAAAGAACTTAGCTTACTGAAATAGATTTTCTTCTTTGAGAAGTTATCATTGATGGATACATTGGGTTTCTATAAATCATTTAATTTCATAGTTCTCTTATTTGAAGGACGTTCAAGATTAGTTTCTGATTCTCATCATGAATTTATGTTGATGTAATATAAATTTTTCAATTGGAATTCAAGAGTAAATCAATCTTGTTTTCAATTCACTTTCATCTTTTAAATAATTAATTCACACTCGTTTCACGTATTTTAGTCTGAATAAGCTGGCACTAAATAGACTTCACTTAGCTTTTAAGGAAAATCATATGAAGTTGTGGGTGCTTACTTCTGAGGAGTCCCATGCTAGGATGAATCATTTGTCCAGTGCTCCCAGCTTTTCAGTGACTCTCTAACATAAAATCCCCATTCACCTCAAAATATAGCATATTGGGTTAGTTCTCTGTCTGTCTTAGTGTTCGAACAAGTAGATTCTGACTTCATTTTCAGAAATTCATATTGCTTTACTGTAAAAATTTATTCACCCTTCCTTGTACCAGTACTTAAAATGGATCATGTTTACAGTGTAGAGGAAGCATAAGCATTCAAATCAATCTTTTTAAGAAATAATAATGATGATTGTAATCACTTTATTCCAGACAACGTGTGTGATACAGTGCAGAATCCTCAACGTTTAATATTTTAACAAACTCGTTCACTGCACAATATTTTTCAACGAAATAATTATTCCACATTAGCTTCCGGTCTGGAATGGTGAATGAATACGAAATTGTTATGGATGGTTGGTCCCTAAAAAACTAACTTGTAATATGTATATATTATCATTGTAAAATTTGAAGCTTATCTTCGAGTCTTTTTCACTCTATGCAGTGTTATTTATTTTTACCGTGATTTAAGATACTAAACGCTGATTGATCTATTTTACACTTCTGATATACTATTTTGTTTTCCATGGTCAAGGCCCTCAAAAAGGTATATAAACGACTAAACTTTCAGGGGGTAATGTCACTGTTTCGGTTGAAGTAGATATACCTTTTATCTCATTGTCTTCTGGTGTCAGCTGAGTATGGTGTGGAGTTATTGTTCTATCGTTAATCGTATCACTGCAGACCGAAATAGAAGTAGAGCGACAATTTTGCTGGTATGTAGTTTATCCAGCCAGTACACAAATCTGCTATTCGACATAGGCATCATAAGAATAGCAATGTAATGTATTCTAAGTCCATTTCTTAATGGCACAACGTTTCCCCTCTGTTTTGTTGGCTTGAAAAACTACAGTTTGAAAACATTTTAATAACCTGCGAGAGTATATGACACGTTTAAAAGACAAAAGACTTAAAATAATTGAAAGGGAAGAATCTTCTAAAATGTGATCAGGGTAAAAAATTCTGTAGTCCAATACTTAAGCAGTGTTTTTAAGAAGTTATGTTATATATGACTGGAAATCATTCCAACCGACTTATATACACCTATGCATCTTCCTCTAAAATATTGTTCTCGTTATTTTTCCAGTCATTGTTTCCCCGGTCATTCATTGGTTTATTTCCTTTGAACCTTTCCTTCACGGTTATATAGGTTATTAGTATTCGTAATCGAATATTGCACTGAATCACAACACATTGGCTACTCAATTATATGTTTAGTTGTGGTATATTCAGAAGCTGTTCTCGCTACCAAGAATGAGATGATATAAGCGATCCACACCCGTCCCACTTGTTCTTATTCTGACTCAGTAATCTACCTTAATCGGTTTAATTCGAAAAGCCAAACCAGGTTAGCTGCTTAAATGGACCGTTCTGTTCATACTTAGGCTCTCAGTTACTAATAAACATAGCACAGCTAGGTGTAGCCCATTACAGTTCTTTTCCATACATGTATCACTTAGTGAAACAGAATTCTCTGCTGATGAGTGACTTTTAGAGCAGAATTTATTCCTCATGATTACATCAAGGCGATATTATTGTACTCATATTGGGTGTTATCCATTTATTAGTTCCCACTACGGATCGTACTTGGAAAAAGGAATAATCCCATTTCTGATCTGCCCAACGCCGATAATCCATCCGGAAAGCCAATGAAAAAATTGCGTGACATATATCAGTCAGTAATTTGAGTGATTAAGAGTCAATTCCGCTGTTGTTTCATTATCATTAAGAATTGAAGGTCTTACAAATACCTAATTTAATTCCATGTTTTTCTTATCTAAGGGGAATCATTTTTAATCAACATGATGTAACGGAAATTTGGAATTTTGCACGGCTTTGGTGCTACCATTGGTGAAAAAAAAGTATGACCGAAAACGATCTAAACTTTGACACTCTCCATATGCTGAAATGTGGTGTTTTCTTGTTCATTCCACAACTTGTGGAATCTTCTGATGTTTTTAAAAAATAGAATTTAATGACGTCCCTTCCGTACCATTCAGGTCCCATGAAATCTTGTAGATTTTCCAACATATATCGATATGATGATGCCGGTAAACTAGCTTCTCTCATGTTAAATTACTAATATGAGAATAATATATTTATTTACTTATTTATATTCTCATTGATCAACTAATGTGCTGAATCATTCCTTTTCTTTCATAGGTTCTTATGCAGAAGCTACTAAAACCCATCATTTAACCATACGTCAAATCCGCTTGGCATTCGTAAGATGGACGAAATCATTATTACCAATGTTTATTACCGCAGCTAGTCAAAGCTGTTCAATTCCTTTTGAAAAATGTATTGAGATCATAAAACCTGTCAGTCTTATTCGCCGAGCATTCATTTTAGATTCAGTAACTCCACTAAATGAATTTCAATCGGAAAACTACTATCAGCTTTCTTCCTCCTATCCCGTTCAGGATATATGGGCTGATCAGGATCATAAGTAAGTTTCGTTTATGCCATCCGTTCATGTTAGCACTGGATTGCACTGCTAATCACCACCGATCAAATTACGTTATAATTAATCTTCAGGTAATATCAAGCCATCTCCATAGGGAGCCCTTGTGTTGACATGGACTGATCTATTCGATCCAGCACAACAACCAACGGGAAATTAAAATAATCGATAAATATTCACAATGGGTACTAGTGACGAATAATGACTAGCAGTGGTATTCTAGACATGCGTTCCTTCCTATTTGGGATTCGTCAGCTACCTCTCAGTGAAAGATATCGTTTCAGCTGAGACTGAAACTCAGCGCCAGTCGCTTCAAACACTTGAGCGCGTTATCCACTAAGTAACTGAGTCATAGATAACTTAAGATATGCTAAAGCATTTCATGTTCATAGATCGCCGTTCAAATAACTTTAAAACCGTAGATTAAAAATGCTTGACATTAATTGAGGTTAAGTTCAAAATGAGAATACAATTATAGACAGCTGGGAGAATGTCTTCAGTACGAGAGGCATTTAAGTGTGGATACCACTGAAAGGTTTGTAGCTAGTTCAGGTTACCTATGCATTCCTCTCACTCAACTATGTTTGCGAAAAATATACATCTGTTACCAGCTTTCTCCTATTGTCATCTTTCAACGCAGTTTTTGTCTGGTTCAGAAACTTAGACGATGCTAAATATATCTCTAAGGAGCTATTAGTTCACTAGGATGTCCAAAATACGCTTTACTAAGGGGTATGGACATGTGTGTAGCTTACTCTCAAAACTCCTAGTCACTTAACATGTTTGCAAGTAAGCTTATCCAGCGATATGCTACGTAATTATGCTCTGAAATTTTTCTCAGCGTCTCTTTTAGTCAGTAAATGTATTATGTAAACACTGCAATACCTGAATGAATGTGACCAACCCGTAGTATTGGCTTCATTGCTTATGTGAAGTTTCACTAGAGAACTGGAGTAGGCACTTATTATCAATTCATGAGACCTGTAGATAATCCATTCACCAACGACCTATTGAATTCCTCTTGAGAAAATCATTTCGTGTCTTTGATGAAGCATGATCTCTTGTTGGTTTTCGATTGAGATTCATTTGATTACCAAATGATCTTCATCATATAGAGAGGATTCCAAGGATTTCTCTCAACTATGAACGTATATTTTTGTGTTTTTCTTTTTCTCAAATGCTGCTTTTCTTTAATATATGATCTCACACTTTTGATCAAGTAATATAGAAATGTATGTTTTGCCTCTTTCTTGGAAAATGCACATCCAGTCCCCATTCTTTCGTATTACCCTGTCAACGAAATCTCTCTGTTTTCATTTGCGATCCGATTTCCATGAATTATATATTTTTCCGGGTTACTGTACTCCTAACTTTTTGTTTTTATTTTTATCATTTTAGTTTCTTAACTCGGCTGATCTGTGATACAGGAGTGTCTGAGAAACTACTCAATCAGCTATTGATTTTGGGCCTGGATTCGTCTTGGCAATGTTTTAGTGCTGTCGATGCAGGAGATATAGTATGTAATCTGATATGGCGTGGTGCCATGTTATCTTCTGACTCAGGTGAACTACTTTGAGTTATTTTGATAGGTTATTCCCTGTGTCCAGTAAAGTATTCACAATTGTTGATTTTCTTTTTCTCTATGGCTATTCATTAGTTTAGTTGTATTTTTGTATGATTTCTAAGGTTTGTAAATTTATATTTTACTAGACAAGGGATTTGTCAAATTCATCAGAAAACTAATCTATTAACTTCCTTTAAGCTATACCCGTTTTCTGTCATCATCATCCGTCATCATGGTTACTAAGTACGTGACTAACGCAATCGTTAGTTTTGTGGTTAGTCGTTTTTTTTTCTAGTTTTTCAATCAGAATGAAATACTTTGTTACTACACTAGTTCACTGGAGGTCAATTGAACCTTTAGTGTATTTATCGAAGTTTTATCCAATATTAGATATCCAGGTATAGTTTGGTTACCTTAGTTGTGCTTTCCAGTTATACTGATCTCAGAAGTTTGCAGTTTGGTTGGCACAAAACTAACGCTTCATACACCTGGATTACAGTTTATGCACCGTTCCAAACTGCAAAAAGAACTGATTGTCCATTGTACAAATATCAAGAAGGCGAAAAACCTAACAGTAATTAATTTGTAATAATGAGTTGTAGTATTAAATTAAAGAAAGTTTTTCACATATCATGAAAGTTAGTACTTTTTGATTTAGTTCCTGATATCATATTGTTTTTGCTTTGTTCTTTTATTTCAGGGTTAGAGGGACTAACTATTACTCGACCAGAACAGTTACTCGATCTCTTGTTTGCTAGTTGTACTTACCTATCGGATCAGCAAATCCCAGCGTAAGAGAATATTTGAATACATTTTCGGTTATTCTTAATAATTTGAATGATTGATTATTATCTTGAACTCCAAGTGATTTAATTGTTGGAAACCATCTGATACAATATGTTCATATTGTTCGTATGCAATTTAATATCATTGTAAACGTTTAGTTGCACGTGAATTTTGTGAACACTGCTTTTTATCAAATATTTATTTATTTTCCTCGTGTTCCTAATGGAACATAGGTCTTCAGTAGCACGCCTCCATTGCACTCTGTTCTCTGCAGTCTTTTCAACCTGGCATCACGACTGCTCACAAGCTTCCATTTCTTCCTCACATGATCTCCTCCATGTTACACTTGGATGCCCGACTCGTCGTTTTCCCTTTAGATTCCACTCGAGGGCCTGGTACATGATGTCCCCAATCAACCTCATTGTATGCCCAATCCAATGCATCTGCACTTTCTTCTGCGTATTTGTTGGGTGATAGGTTCTTGGTTGGTTCGTCGACAGCCAGGGTTCCTTGTTGCTTATTCTTTCTAGCTATCTGATCTGATCTTCAGTATCGAGTGAGCATAGGCGGCAGTTGTTGATGAATGTCTGCAGTTTGTTGGGAATGCTTTCCGTAATACGCCAATTTTCTGAAATTTATAGAAACACCGAGTTGATTGACAGTATTAAAATTCGGATCTTGTTCTTTGTGCTGAGTGCAGTCCACACTGATTTCAGATTAATGAAAGCCTGTCCTGCTGTCCTTTCCTATCCTGGTTTTGACATCCTCATCTGTGCCTGTGCCGCCTGTAGTTGAAACAATGCTGCCTAGTTGGTGGGTGAAGGAGACTACTTTCTTCAAGTTTCTTCCGTTAATGGTGATTGGTGCTTGTTGTTGATGCTGTTGTTGGTTGGGCATCTTCATCACCTCCGTCTTCCCTACATTCACCTGAAGTCCCGTTTTCGCTGCCTCGCCTCTTCTGTCAACTTGTTAGTTTTCGCTTGTAGATCTTCGAGTTTGTGTGACAAAACATTAGACATAAATCCTCATCAGCGAAATCCAAATCTTCTACTATCTTTTCCCCGGTCCAGCGTATCCCCCTCTTCTCGCTCCTCACTGTTTGTTGCATGATCCAGTCCACCACAATCAGGAATATCATGGGTGATAGTAGACAGCCTTGTTTTACTCCTGTCTTCACTTCAAAAGCGTCACTGAGCTTCCCAATGTGAATTACCTGGCATATGGCGTCTTCATATAGTTGTTGAATGAGGTTGATAAAGGTTTGTGGTATTCCATGGTGTTAATGCAGATGCTAAATTACTTCTTGGTCGACGCTGTCGAAAGCCTTTTCAAAGTCGATGAATTTGAGGTAGAGGGTTGACTGCCATTCTTTGCTCTGTGCTATGATGGTGTGTAGCGTAGGGTTGGGACTTGGTCAGCACATGATTTGTACTTCCTGAAGCCAGCCTGTCCCGGTCGTTATTTGGAATCTAGTGCATCCTTTAGTCTCTCCAGGATGATGCGGCTTAATATTTTGCTTGGGGTGGACAGCAGCATGATTCCGCTCTAGTTCTTGTAAGAAAATCCACCCTTCTTTAGAAGTTTGACAAGATAGCCTTTCTTCCAATCAATAGGCAGGTACCTTTCATTCCTTCCTTCCAAACCTTCTACAGTAGTGGTGTAAGCATGTCCGCTGTTGTCTCTGCGTCTGCTCTCAGTGCTTCTGGCGGGATTCCATCTGGTCCTTCTGCTCTCCCTCATTTCAGTAGCTGTATGGCGTTTAGGACTCTGACTATCGTCGGAGGGCTTGTGTTCACTTCTAGTTCTGTGGCTGCAGGTGGTATTTTTGGAAGAAGTGCAGGTGGTGGTCAATTCAAGAGTATTTTGAAGTGGTTAGCCCATTGTTTCCTTTGTTCCTCCTTTTGGTAACTAGGTTTCCTTCACCATCTTTCATTTTTTTCGTCTAGTTTGACCTCTTCTCGGATAATAACCTGGTTATTTGATATAATGTCGTCAGGTCTCTCCTACCAGCAGCCTGTTCTGCTTCACTTGCCAATGTGTCGTAGAAGTGTGTTTTGTCTTTGCACACACTCTTCTTAACTTCTTTTTCTAGTGTTTTATACGTTGTACTCAATTCCTCTTGTCGTTGAGCATCCTTGCACTGGTTTATCTTCTGCTTCACCATCCTCCTCTCTTCTAACAGCTTCCATGTGTCTGTCGAGATCTATTCCTTATCTTCTTTCTTCTTCCTTCTTAACACCGTTATGCAGGTTTCCTTCCATGTCATGTTCAAAGAGTTGCAGTGTTCATCCACGCAGGTTTCCTCGGAGATGTTGCTCAATATCCCCCATTTTGTCCTGTTAACTGACTGACATGAAGATTTCCTTTGTAGTTTCGTCCTTCACTTTCTGTTCTGGATGTTGAACTTCAACTGTGGTCTATCATTACCTTCCTTGAAATGAAGGCTTTCACCCGGATTTTGAAGGTAGGTTGCTTGCACTAGATAGTGAGTGGTGTGAACCTACATCTGCTCCCCCTCTTGATCTTGTGTCCAGTTGGCTGTGTCTCCACTTTCTTGAGATTGAAATGAAGTCGATCTGATTTTTAGTACGTCCTGGTGTCTGGTGAAATCCATGTCGCTTTGTGAATGTCCATTTGTTTGTACACACTGCCTCCAATCACCAAATCTTTGAATGCACAGAAATCTGCAAACAGTTCTCCCTTGTCATTCTTCATTTCACCGAGTGCTTCTCGACACATGATGAATTTTCTTCCTGTGTTGTCTACTCCCAGTTTGGCATTCATGTCACTCATTAGAATTTCGATGTCGCCATCTGGCGTGGGGTCTTGTCCAGTAGTGATTGCAGTTGTCTGTCGAATTCCTCCTTTTTCTCTTGATCTGCATTATTTACTGGCGCATAACATTGTACGATTGTGACTTTCCTTCTCTTGGAGTTGAATCTTGCTATCATGATCCTGGAAAACCCTGGTTCTCACCGCATGAAAGCCTTCGATGATCTTGTAGACATCATGATAGCCACTCCGTAAGTCAGTATGCTCATGGTTGTTGTCTGGGTGACAATAACAGAGTAGATTATTGACTCTCCAGTTAAGAGTTTGGAGAGTCCACTTCCATTGCATCTACAGATTCCTCGCAGCTTCCTAGCACTTCCATACCATACCTCCTTATCTCTTTTGCAATCTGGGCAGCCTTGCTAGGTTCATAGGTGGTGCGGACATTGCATGTTCCCATCCTTATTTTCGCTTTTATCGACCAGCTGGCTTCACGAAGGCTTTCACCGACCGGCGTCAGTTCGTCTCTCCGATTCCAGGGAGGAATAAGTATGTTTTTATTTTTTATATTTTCTTTGTGCTTTGAAGTTTCTGTAGCGATTGGATTGGTTTTCTGGGGTAGGGTTGCTAGTCGTATGCCCAACCTTTCTTCTTTATCCGGGCTTAGAACCGGCTAGCAACTAGTGAACTAGTTAACCAGCGACGTTTTTATTCAATAACATGTTCACAATTTCCATTGTGACATCGAAAACAAGATATTGAGCGAAGAGGACTTTTTTCAACAAATTTATTCTATATATATATATATATTTGAATGCACAGCGAGCTTGGTGGTTTTACGGAGTAACATATCACCTCAAGTTATTCTTCATTATTCAACGAAAGTCATTCTGAAAAGTGATGCATCTTTGGATTTGTTAATATAGTGTTAGATAGTGATTGTTTTGGACCCAATCATGAATGTTTTTATTGAAACCGAAGCAATCTACGCTTTGTCTGGTGTCAATCTAGTTAGCTGTTTACTTCTATAAACTCTTCCTTTGAAAGCAGTACACATATCTGTACGTACATTTAATCGGCTGTATGTAATCAGTTTCTTTTTCTGTACCTTTTCGTGATTGACATTCCAATTAGCAAATAGTATAATGAGTTTTTCTGTTGTTTATCTTGTTTTCGTTTTCTTCCGTTTCAAATAGTGAAATGAGTGAATTAGCTTATGCAAATCTTTATTGGAAAGTCACATTGACTTGTTTGGTATTAGCTGCTTATTGTCCATGTACTTGTGGTAAGTTTCCTTTGAGTGTTAATTTGGATTTTTGGAATTTCATGGATTTGTATTTATTAGTTACCTTGTCCTTAGCCTAAATAATTGATTTCATGATCATGAATAACAATGACAAACCTTTAATCAGCGGAAAACGGTTGGTATTCAATGTTAAATCCATCCTCTTAAATCATCAACATAACTTATTTTTAGTGCGATTGCTTTACCACACTTCCTCTTCACTACTTGAATTCTTTTAACCATAAGTTTTTGTTCCTATCTCTTGAAGTGATTGACATACTCAACTTCCTGGTATGTTATAATCTGTGACACCAATCGAATCACTCTATGTCGTTCATATCCTCTTTCTCTGTATTTCTTCAACTAGCAAGAGAGCTTTCTTCTAAACATCCAGACTACAGTTTTTGCAAAGGTTCTAAAAGAATTTGAGTACAAAGTTCGATCTAATCAAGTGTGCTGCTCAGCATTCTGCTCAGTTATAATTTACAGCTGTTGAATTGAATGTGAACGAAATAAAAAAGATATTCGTTTTCTGAGTCTAGTTTGCGTGTAATGAAATCACAAAGTAAACAATGTTGCAATTAATCAAGGAAGATAAATAAATTAGTTTGCGAACGTTCATCGATCGACAAGTGACCGAGACATGCTACACATACTGAGCCACAGTTTATCCCAACATTCAGTGTTCCCTGAATTATGACCACTTTAGAAGAAAGCTAAGGGTATTCAGATAAAAATAATGATGACAAACTAGCGTGTCACCCAAAGTTTCTCTATGTGAACCTTGATGGTTTCTCAGTTGATCTATTTTGGAGTTATTCCCTGACACAGATACGGATGTACCTAATGTATCATATTTAAGATTCACAATCTCCTATTACTCTTTCTTCCAGGTGAATTAATTTTCGTCGTATTTCATTTTTATATGTTTCTGTGACGGGTGATAGTTTCAATCACCAGTACATTTTTGCATGGCGTTTTACATTAAGTCATCTGTTTTTCATGCATCCATTGTACAAGTTCAATAACTTTACGGAGATTTTAAGACATTTATAAATTGCTGATGTACACTCCGTTTCACATCACTTGTTTGGAGAATGTCGAAGGTTAACAAAAGTCTGAAAACTTATTTACCTATCAAAATTTAAATGTTCTTTTGACTCAACCATACTTAATTGTATTGATACTATGCGTTTTGTTTATTTTTCTAAGGTTCATATCTTTGGTCGAATTACCCTACTGTCAAACGCTTAATGGAGATTGTGATCAGCAGGTATATTGAATACAATGAATACTCAGTAATTGAATGTTTGAAGTCGTATGTTGGTTTTAGAAAACTATGATACCTACCTATTAAAGAACGAGTATACGGAGCTGCAATCTCTCATGTCACGTTATACGGCTGTGAGACATGTGGGTTGGAAGTAGAAGACATGAAGCCGTAACAAATCTTTGATCACATGTGTCTTAATAGCATCGCTCGTGCATGATAGAATCACAATTTGAACAGTTTAAAGGTACTATGCAAGGAAGGCAAGTTAGTCAGTTAGGTTGTGAATCTTCATCGACTGAGGTGGCTTGGACATGAGTTGCGCAGGCCGAATCATCGTCTACCTTGATGTGCAGTTTTAGCCAATGTAGAATTGGGTTGGAAGAAGGCTCAGGGTGGCCAGACCAAAACAAAACACCATTTGGCAAAGTCTTTAATTACTGGTATGAACCGTGCAGGGAGATGTAGACTGTCTGACTGGAGTCCTAAAAAACATAGAAATCAGTGGTTACAAACTCTTGTTGAAATGAAAATCGTTCACAGTGGTGAAGATGGATTCACTCTTTAACATCTTATAAAGTCTAAACATTGTCACTGACCTTTATCTTCAAATTGTTTCACCTCCCATATACCACTGTGTACTTGGATACCAGTCTTTTTCTGTCCCCGTATCCTTTGCTTGGTGCTGTGAAGTGTGTCAACTTGAACCAATGCACTTCCGTACAAAGTTGTACATTGGTTTTATCAGTCACGCCATTTCTTATATATATATATATATATATATATATATATATATATATATATATATATATATATATATATATAAAGGTGATGTCATGAGTTACTTTTGATAGAGTAGCGTCTGTTGGTGCATCATCACTCCCTGTTGTTAGAGCTCAATGAGTTTGAGATCATATCTAATGTGTTTATCCACTAGAGACATTAATATGGTTTTCAAAAAGGTGTAAGTTTTTATACACAGCAGTTTTCACTAACCATATAATTACTATTTGATTCTAGTGATTTTGATAATGATTCAACGCAAAATTCTATTGGATATGATCGTACTGTTGAAGTGACCGAAAAATTGGTGAGTTTGTTTATCTAAGAGTGAATATGTATGTTCGATAACGGGAATACGATTTTCCGTTAAATGTTATAAATTCTTCTCTTCAAATGCTATTTTACCGATAGTTTACACGTTTATTTTAACCTAGTTGCAACAATACTCTCAGTTTTAATCTTACAACTGTCTCCAAGGTGCTGTTTTGGAGTTTTAGAGTTAACAATTATCCTCTGGCTGTGATCCAAATTTGTCGTCAAACAATTAGCGACAGGAATACACCAACGTACTAACCTTTACATATGAAAATGAAGGGACTAGGGTTATTTAAATCGCTTTATTATCTTTAATATTTTCCCTCTTATCAAATATCTGAGTTGTATTACTTTCTAAATTCTTACTATAAAATGTCAGGTAGTTAATGATTTCATGTTGATAAACTAAGGTGTCTGTTAAGAAAATCCTGTTAAAGTCAAAATCAATGGAAGCTGTGACAATATTTCATAATATATTCTAACATAAAGTTTTAAAAACAAGTATTTTGGCTTTTAGATAAATGAACTTAGTTTCACTGATTGACATAATTTGAATTCTATGGTTTAATTAACTCTAGTATCACTACTGCTAAAGAGCAAATCTTAGCTCCCTGCAGGAAGAACAAGTTATTTATTCCTAGTTGGTTTTATTAAACAAATTACTGAGAAAATAATAATCTAACTTACAAATTGATCTATGCTGATAACGTCAAAAGATCGAATCTAGATTATTTTTGCAAAGACTGATACACTAGCCACATAACCTTGGAATTTTATTGTTCGCCTGTAAGCGGAATCATTCCTATGTCTTGTTGAGAGGAGTCAGAATGTACGTAAAAAGCCATCTAATATTGCAGTTTGCAATGATACATTGACTGGAAATAATAATCAACCTTAAATTATTTACAAGTCTATATTTCATTAAAAGTGTTCATGTTGATTGACTCATCTTGAAAGTTTGGTACATCATCCATTTTTAGTCATAAAAATCTCATTTATAAACTAGTTACTTTATCTATGTATTTAGTGTAATTTTTAATGTGCATTATTTTCTGTATGTTGAAGAATTATGAAATAGAAGTTCAATTGATTCTTCGTTTAGAATCATTTTTACTTGCAAATGAAAATAAGACTGAGTCTGCAGCCGGTGAAAATCATCTATTCACACCTGACTGCGAAATTGTAGTCACTCCTGAAACATCAAAACTCATTGATAAATTGGTACGCAATAATCCTCGTGGACCATATCGTCGTTTACCAGAAAAAGAATTTCGTTACCTCCGCTTTTTATGTGGACGTCTACACCTGGAACGTCGCTTATGGAGTAGTCGCAATCCTGACTTTCTCCTTGACTTACTACATAGTCAAAGTAAGTCAACTATACTTTCTTCTATTTTCTTTGCTTTATTTTCAACATGTTTTTCACTAGCAGTAAATTCTCTTAATATTCAAAAATAGGATGAATTAAACTGTTCACAGCATTTGTAACTCCATTTTGGAGGTTTGTGGGGACTTAATAACTGGTTTCCAATTGATGTCAGTCTGTGATGAATACCAACCTAAAATCAATAAACAAGTCCCCACAAACCTCGAAAACTGAATTACTCTACTGCTCATCATTGACTCGTTTCGGAATGAAATTCCCGAAGTTCTAATGAGAATGGGGCCAACCAAATCGAACGTATAGACAGTTACTTAACAATGACACCGGGCGGAAGTCTCATCATATTGTAAACTGAAGAAAGTAGAAAGTGTGAACCATTGGGTCCCCACCCAATGGCTCAGTAGCAACGTGCTGGCCGTGGAAACTGAAGGTCCCGGGTTCGACTCCTGGCGGGGTCATAGGTGAGCACTGCTGAGGAGTCTCATACTAGGACGAAACAGTTGTCCAGTGCTCCCAGGTTTCCTCTGGTTCTCCAACTGATGTCACTCCGTGATGAATACGAATTTCAATTCTTAATTCCTCTGTATTGACAGACTCATTCTTAAGCTACAAAAACGTAATTTGATAAAAAGGCAAATGTTTTTTGAATGGCCTGTAGTACTTGGATATCTATTGACTCATCAGGGATCCAAAATGTGTTAGTCATGAAGATTTTACAGTATATACAATGCTTTTATTGATAGTAAAGTGCTTAATAAACTGTTCACTGAATCTGTGTACATCCATGAGCGACTTACTTCGATTAACTGATACTGTATACGATTTGACTATCTGAGATAGCCGTAGTTTGGTAGATTGATATTGTATACACAGCATTTAGTAATCTGTTAATAGTACAACTTGTTGATTTGACTGTAAATAGAATACTTTTTGAAATTCTTTAAAGTCGGGATACATGGGATGGAGCTTTGCGAATAACCGGATAATTAAGAATTGAGTATCGGAATTATGACCGACCTGTGTATATTTGTGTGATGAGATTTCGAGTTTTCATACCTATATCGAAAGTGCCAACAAATTTGATGTTTAGGTTTGTAACATTATTCTATAGATTACTGTCTGTTTAACCCTGCGACGCTAATGTAGAGCTCATTTAACACTTGGATACTGATAGCACATGCATCACTAAGATTGTGTGATTCACAGAGTTTTATCTTTCAAACAACTTGGAAGTTGTATCACGTTATAAGGGTTAGTCGAAGTGATCAACTTTAGGCATTGCTGTTTTATAACGTGTTAAGACAAACAAACGTGTGTAAATTTACAATCACTGTTGTACTTAACAATTGTAATTACCCTAACTGTAAAATGCTTTGTGAGACTGCATATCACTACTTGTGATTTTATTTGTCTACTCAACATTCCTGGTAAGATTAAAAAGAGGCAGTTGATAGTTTATTCGCACGAACTATAAAGGCATAATCAAAAGACTTGATTATCCAGTTTTCGGCTACCATTTAATGACTAATTGTTTATGCTATGTTTATTTGCCTGTTGTTAATGTTGCTGGGTTTGAACATAGCCCTTATTTTTTCACAGGTACATGTAGACTGATAAATGCACTTGGATGTGATTTTATTTTTTAAATGCTGTGAAGATTTACAGGAGTACATAAGTTTCTCGTCCTCTGTAATGTCAAGCTTTGCTGCATAATAGATTGTTGCCTTAATTCTTTGTCTGAATGTCAGAATCTGAGAATCATCCATATACGGTAGCGTGATATATATGTATATATTTCATCAGAACTGATTGAAGAATGGATTGTCTTTGTCTGACATTGCTATTACGATTAATAAATTTCAAAGGACAACTGTTATACAACAATGCTTTGATAACCTTTTGTATTTCCTCCTTTAAAGTGTCATTTGTACATATTTTTTGAATCCGGTTGAACAGACACTTGATTAATGCCCGTTTATGCTGAGTTGAACAGAAAATATGGTAATTTAGGTACTGTTCTGTCTATATAAATTTCACACAGATGAATCGTTTTACTGACCCATCATCCTGACGAGTTACGAGAACGTCTAAGAATCTTTCCTTTACTCACACGTTAAGGATATTTTACTCTAAGCTTCATTCATTTGACTGGGAAGCGAACTAGCATCTTCCGTCTAACCACATGTGATTGTGATGTCGTTAACATATCTTTTTCAGAAAGGAACTTTTGCAATCAAATTTTCAATCTAACCCTTGACTTGTGACATAGATATCTGCTGGTAAAATGGCTAAGGGACTTCCCATGGTCATACCATCGATGTGACGGAATTCCTCACCCCTAGGTGTAAGTTTAACATTACTGGTACATAAAAAAAGACGCTCTTTAATATAAGGAAGTAGAATTAGCAATGGAATATTGCTAGCAGGGACACCACATAAAGCGTCAATTGTTCTGCATCAAGGGGATCGTATCAAGCAAATAATTAACGTCAAGCGAAAACATGTTTCTCTTTTTAAGATTAACATCATGAAGATATTCGAAGAGCTCAAAAGTTTCTTTCAAAACAAACTTGCAAAACTGTTCTCAATATAATTTAGTAGTTTTAGCAACCACTGATCAGGCTTACCGAGTTAGAAACCTGCACATTGAAATTAATGAACATAAAAGATTATTAGGCTTATGAATTTTCGGAAGTCTATTAAGGTATGCTGATTGGGATTCTACTGGCTTTAATGAATTTAACTTCACTTCCACTAAATTGGCTGTTAATTTCCTTTGTAGAATCTATGTTTTTTATGGAGCAGTTTCTTAAAAAAAATTTTCCATTTTAGAGAATGGAGTATGTATTGCTTTTATGCTCACTTCTGTCCATGACAACAACACTTAAACCTTTATGTGATTTGCTAATAATGATATTAGTGTTATGCTTCAATTGTTTTAAGTCTTGGAATTGTTCAGACGTAAGAGCACTCATCTGCTTAAGATTACCTCTACGAAACTAATGAACGATATCCAGCTTTCAATTAACCCTGATCATCATCAAGTATAGGAATAAGGGATTTCAGTTGGTAATAAAAATTATCAAATTATGTTTGGATTGCTAGGTTTCAGGTTTACATCTAACGAACACAAAACTTCGGTTCGAGTGATAAGAATTCTTTCAGGGATGTGGATTTGTGATATAGAAGATAAATCAACTCCATATTTATATGAATGAACAGAAAACATTTTGTGGTTCTTCTCATCAAATGGTTTATTCAACTTCTTGTGTATATTGGCTCTTGTTTTAAGTGCAACGAAACTGCTAAAGTTCGGGAATACTATGTGGCATATCTTCAGTTCGAGATAATATGAATTCAGTCGAATATCAGTCTTCTGATTTCACTCCACGAATCACTCAGGTTCAATATTCTCAGTCCTTGGACTCTTAGTCGTTAATTACTCTCGTTCGTTCTCTCAACTCAGTATCATAACAATGTCTAAAAATATAAACAAATATTTTTCGTAATCCAGTTTAGTGTTTGACTTTCTCTCAATCCTTTAAAACTACCATACGCTGTACATACTGTATCATATACTCCACACATACTTTCTACACGAATGTATCATAAACTGGTTATTTTCGGGACACACACCAGTAAGAAGTTATTTAAATCGTTGAAACTGTTTCATCTCATGCAGTTTAGTGTGATAAGTTCATTTCTGACATCTCTTTCTCGTTTTTGAATTGCACTAGCTAACAATGTAGTTGCTCAACCATGGCTTATGCGTTTAGTGGAGTCGATTGGACAAGATTTGGATGTTCTACCTGTTCAATGTTTATGTGAATACCTATTATATGATGCTATAGCACATGTGCAAACCTACAAAACTGATTGGTCTTATTTATCGAAATCTGTTATGCAATCTGCGAATGTAGATATCTTCAACAGTCTAGCAACACATAAACCAGGTATATACATTTGTGTTTTTTTTGAAAATCTCATCAACGACCGCATACTTTTTCATGCATTATTGATTATGTGACGGCTTATAATACCATCTGACTCACTGACTACCCATACACCGCAGATTACAGTGAAAGTTATCTGTTAATTTCTCCCTCAGTTATCAGTATTTCAGGTATCTGATAATTGGCTTTTTAGTTTGTTGTGTAAGGAAGTGAATAATATCAAACTACATGTGGGTTGTCAGCATCTGTCTAATTCATACTTAGAAGGGTACTTGTTCCTCTTAGTTTTTGAGAAAAAATTATCTTGAAATACACCCACTTATTTAGTTCTTTGGTTTAGGATTTCTATAAACAGCATTTCTACGTTAACTTTTTGATATTATCATCCATGCAACTACACAGAGACATAAAGATCTTTAAATCCACACTAAGCTATGAACTCCATAAATCACATTATACTTTGTCCATATATTGACCTCATCGAAAAGTATCCCGAAATTGATTTTGACCTAACACCTGAACGTACTCTTAAATTTACGTCAACGATTTCTCACAGATATTACAGAAAATCTTTGTTTTATTACGCTACGTAACCAGCAAAACCGTGCTTCATTTGTCAGACATTTAACCCAAACTCAAATAGTTGCCTGAAATCTATCCTCCAACTCTCATTCAGGTTAAGAAGGCCATTCCAAACCTGAAGCCAAGTAAAACAGCGAAACCTTTTGGTTTGTTGCTAGACGTTTTAAAGGGTGAAAGTAAACAGACAGATAAATTCAAAGTAGAACTTCGTATAGAATGGAATCGCTTCAATATGGCACTCCATGAAACCATACAAGTGACAAGTGCATAGAAAAAGAGTTGTAACAAAACACGCAGTAGGTATGGAGGAGAAAGAATAAAAAAAGCAGTAAAATATTTAAACTTTTAAAAATATCAGCATGTGAGCACATCCGATCATCTCGATGACCCCAACTAAAGTTGTCTACATCTCCCTACATGGCTCTCCAACAGTCAGAGACTTCATCGGCTGATACCACATCTTAATCTGGTCAACCTCAGCCTTCATCTAACCTCATCCAACTTTTGCTAACTTTGCACGTTTAGGTAGGCGGTAACTCCGCACATGCAACACATGTAAAAGTCACCTCAGTTACTAAAGGTTCGCAACCTCACCTATCAACTTACCTGTCTCCCCTAGTACTTTCCGCCTAACCTCAACATTGCTAACATGGCGGTTCCATGATATGAGAGCAACACTACCAAGACACCCGTGATCAAAAGCCTACAGTCTCTTGACATCTTTTACTTTCAACGGACATGTCTCAGCCGTATGACAAGACAGAGCGAACTGCAGCGCATTAAACTCGTCCTTCACCCTTATTAGGTAGTCGGATATCTCTCCAATCGGTGCCAGAGTTGACGTAAGTTCACAAATGCAAAACAGACCGTTTGTATTCCGTCTGAGATTTCGTCATAAACCAACCCATTTGCGCTGATACAACTCACTGAGTCAGTGAATCGGTCGACCACTTCATTCTATCCTTAAACTAGTAGTGATTAAAAACCAGTCTGGAAGTATCATCTCACATTTTACAGGTGTTAGTATCTTCACCTATCAGGAGTATACCGTTAGCTTACTACACGCTAACTAAGTGCTCTCCTGAGAGTAAGTCAGTCGCTGTGAAGTTGAATGCTCCTAGGGTTATGTCCATTAGTACATATATCTATAACAAAGTTAAACAAGCTGTGGCATCGCGTTCCCAGCGGATACCACTGGTTGTCATCACTTTAAATGACAACTGTCCATAAGCTCTCCATGAGTTTGGATAGAAACCCTAGTCAACATTACATGTCTCCTGGCGACTCCGTTCACAGCCAGACACGACCACAGTATGTCTCAAACGACAGTGTAAAATTGCACTTTCTGATCAAGAAGTGTGGTGAGTGTCAGGCGCTGGTGGTTATTTCTTTTTAGACTGTATGGTTGCCGTCTTTATGCTAGTAGAAATCAATGGTTGATCGCTTTCGCTGACGTAGTTTAGTGTCGGTTGAATTCGCACAAGCGTTCACACTTAGTATCATCTTCAAAATTAGGAAGCTACTATAAGTTCTCATTTGTTTAATCTTCTTCTTGAACACTTTTATTTATGGGGCACTGTTATTCGTTACTTCGTATCCTGTTTCATATCATTAGTTTTTGCAGTGTCTTCCTAATCTTTATCATGTTTATTTTTGTTTTTCCCCGCAGAAATCTTAAAGTTGAGCGATGCAAATCAACTTGTTTCTCAACTGATAATTAAATTGCAAGAATCAACGACGCGAGATTCATTCGATTATTCAATTGCGGATGCACTAACTCATTCTTTCTTCAGTAGACTGAGTGATACACGTCGTGTAGTTAGACAAGCTGCTCGTCAGGTAAAGAGAACTATTTAACAGGAATAGAGTTCATTCTTGTTGTTTACTGTTATAATTTATGCTTTTGTCATTTGAATATATTCAGGATAGTGTTAATATGATGACGTATAGGCTTGTATTTCAACACTTGCTTCATGTCACTGTGAATAGATCTAAGAACGTATGTGGTTTATCAGCGTTTGAGGAACGAAGTTTAATATATATATATATATATATATATATATATATATATATATATATATATATATATATATATATATTCTTGACGTAGACAGTTTTTTTATATTTATTCTCACTACCTTGATCAACTTTCAATAATAGTTAACTTTAGTTTTGTTGGAGACTGGCTTTTCACTTGTTTTTTAACAGTGTTGTAGATCCCCATACTTATCATAATTTGATGATCGAAGCCTATCATTCTTTTATAGTTTGTTTTCTTTGGTTCCAATACATCGTGCTTTTTAATGCTTAAGTGAAGTTTCAGTAACCTAGTACAAAAAATTTCGGTATGGATGGGAAAAATATGCATGAAAAGATTTTATTTCCTCAGTTTTACTAATGTACAACAACTGCTATAACCATCTTTTTTCATTTATGAGATAATCACCATACGTAGCTATCCCTGCTCGAAATATATTGAGGTGCTTTTTGGTTCTATTCACCTTAAAAGGATATTTTCTAGTAATTATATCCCCTTGATCAGTATACGTTTTGCTGAATTTAATTAAAGCACTTCATGTTATTCGAACATAGAATTTATTCGTCAGAACCTAACCCTAACCATCCCTATCAAGGTTGGTTATTGACACTCTTTGTTGTTGAGAACAGTTTAATTGATAGTGGAATAGTCATTTGCACAAAATTCCCTCCTGAAAAACGCTTAGATACGTATATCCACATTCTGCTTTGCGAATATCTTCTACGTAGTATTTACTTCGTCTGTTGTGTACTTCATGTGATATTTATCATGATCCACTACGTAACTTAGTTTCATGCACAAATGTCCAAGGTACATATCCTTTATTTCAGTAAAAAAAAATTTACTTTTATGCTGATAAAAGTTTTATGTTCGCATAGGATAGTAAGTGCGAGTCAACCGTATCAAATGCTTATCCATCTTCACACTTCATATGGGTGATTTCAGACTCCGGTAGTTTATCTCATAATTCTTTTAAGGATGTTGTACATTCTCTCATTCGGTCACCTATGAAATTATGTGGTGTTTCCATTGTTACATTAAAAAAAAACTAGTTCGTTTTCTTTAAAATTGCAACTAATTTGATTTATAGGATTTTAACTATTCCCATAACATCAATTAAAAACAATCCGAACGAAGAATATTCTTCCCAATAAATTCTCACGGGGTTTTATAAGTGAAATGGAATGGTACTGCTTAAAAACAGACCCAGTCTGAGGCAAATACATTTTCAAAATAGAATGTGGGTTAGGAGCTCTAAGGAAGTAAACCTTTTTTTTCTTCCATTTTTTCAATAATAGAACGACTCATATAATATGCATGAAGAATGCTATGGTAAAAGAAACGTCAACCAATAGGGAAGTCACAAGAAGTCTTTAGTTAATTGAAGGCTAATAAAGAAATAATCCCTCAACAATGTTCCTCCTGAACGAAAAGTCCAGGTGTGATCAGTCTTATGGCTGACAGTCTCAGTCATCCTGCTTAGGCGTTGGTGAGCTACGTGTGGTATTGTTTCGAGAACACGGTGTATGACACTAAAGCATTTACTATCATCTTTGTGATACCCTGTGTCTATCAAGTAGAAGTAAAACGTTTCGCCTTTTCCCAGCCAACCGCATATGTGTTCTCGTATCCGTAGACCCACCTGCCTAATTGTGCATCCCATGTTACTTGTTCTGCGGGAACAGTTAAACTAATATTTACATGATAAGAAGTTAAGACTGTATAGGCTATCCTTAAGTCTTGGATTGAACACTGATGAACTACTGAAAGATATGCAAAGACGACCTGAGTAAGACGTTTTATTCACTGCCCTAGCCAGGCATTATGATAAGATGTTGCTTAGAGCATCTCCCTTGAATTGCAGATGCAGAAACAAAGACTTTTTCTTCACTATCTTCAATTCACGTTTGAGATTACTGTAAGCGATGTTTACTTTGATGAAGTCTTCAGGATATCCGTTTCTACTTGGATTATTACGAAGGGAAAACTCTTGATATATTTTCATAGAAATTCATTTTGACAACCATGTCTCATTGGTAATGTTTCTCCAGAGAAAGATGTAAGTGATGTTCAAATTACTTTTCTGTAGGTTAGTAAATTCACTTCATGCAACCGGCTCTTCATGATGAAAAAAAGAATATTTCATTGTTTTTTTTCAATTATTCTGATCTTCAGTGTTTGCGTTCACTTGTACCTGCAACTCCAAAAGCTCGACCAAAGCAACAGTTAACTGATACTGCATGTAGGTGGTTATACATTCTCGAATACTTTAATCAGCTATCTGTGTTAAACTCGGATAACACACCTCTACCATTGAAAGAACAATTAACTCTTCAGTTGACTGGACCGATTCTGACATCATTTCAAGTTGAAAATGATCTTGATATACTAACTGCTCATCTGCTGTTCCTCAGTCATTCAACTCATTCATCTAATTTTACCGTGAGTTTATTCCCTTTTCATTCATAACTTCGAATTCTATTTAAATTTGTTGTAAAAATAAATATTGGTCAGATGTCGGCAAAGAACCAGACAATTCTGACCATATGCTTTCGAGATAACTCTGAGACTCCTGCCCTGTACAAATACGTTGCTAATTTCAGTTATGAATGACGTACAATAAGAAAAAATAGTGGAAAAGTTGCCTTCTGAGCCATTGTATCCCTGTAGTCCTGTAGCAGATATTTTAAAGACCAAATTACTGATAACAGCTCAATTTATCCTTTGTTATTATTATTATTATTACATCCTTTCCACGTGGGGCCTAGAAAACATTCTTTCTTGCTAAGAATTGGGATAAATGCTCTAGTACTAATCCGCTCACCTCTGTACCAGTTGCTTAAGAAAATGCCAAATAAGTTTGGTTTACTAGTCGAAAACAGAACTTCGATAAATTCAAGTCAGTATTAAGTTATTATCCCTAACTGATGCGCTTCGACCAGAAGCTCCCCATTGTTGCCTCCATAAATGCTTCGAATTCAAGTTCCACTATAATATCGCCTCACATTTTGCTGTTAGAAAAAGTCAGTTAACGTTTTCTGTATACGTCTATTACCTGTATCTTCCTATTTCCATCAGTATTTCATTAATCTGCGTAAATTTAATTCCAGAGACATTTTTCGTCATATTTCGTTAGGTATATGTTTTGATTTCTGTTTGCTTTAAATGTACTTTGTAGTTTTGGCAGCCGTTAGTCACTGCACTAAGTCAGTTTATACTAACTCGGTCGACAATCGTTTCAAGTTTGCTGCACAGAAATGCTTCACACTTGGGTGATGCTTTAAATTTACCGAAGAAAACTGCGTATACAGCCTTAGAGGTGATGGCAGAAATATTTACACGCTACGTGAATCATTGTTGTACAGTTACCGAAGCTATACCGATCATGGAGAAAAAGGTTAGTGTTTTATGTTTTGCATATACACTGTAGAAATCTAATGGCTTACACTCATCTTAATGTCATCACGCGTTTACCGTGTATGTATACCCACGAACCTTGTCTTTCACAGTTTTATCTAACTCTTTGCTGCTTTACAGAGTGTATTTGTCTCATGGTCCGCAGATTGTCAGTATCCATTTGATATTGAATTTATTCAAGCGCAAATTTTATTGTTAACTCATATAAATGATGATCTGCCTAAAACAAATCCACTCACGGGTGAACCCAGCTGGTGGATTCGATTACGAGATACATGGTTCCTGTCTGATTGTCGGTCAGTTGATAGTGATAATAATATTTGTCAGTCATATCGTATGCCAGAAGTATCCCCGTGTGCATGTTCAGAAACTATGACCGATATATGCGGTAAACAACCTGGACAGCAAATTTGGTTCACAAATCCCTCGTGTGATACTGTACCACAATTGAAATTTTCCACAGATTTGCGTTGCAGCTTAATACAAACCAATCAAATCCCACTCGTTTTTGGAGGTGAGTTACACTTGTGGATGATATAAAATCATTTATAACCCATATACCGATACTCCTAACGAGCACTTAAGCAATAGTCTTTCAGTTACACTTTAATTGTTAATCGATTTCTTGGAGGGGTGAAACAGTACAGTGTATATTGCAAGATTGTTTGTGTACAAGATATTCGGTTGTTGGGCGTTTCCAGTGGATTTTAGAAGCCTATTATCGTTGATTGTTGTGGATACACTCAATGGAGTAACTACATATATATAATCATATGATGTTTCTGCAAAACTGATTGGTTCTGAATACTTTAGTGCTTTACTACTTCAAAGATTTAGGATAGTAGATATATTGGTAAAATTTACCTCTTCAGTTCTCCAGTCAAGTATATCAACTAAAATTAGTAACAACGACCACCTGCCTCAAAATATGGTATTGACTGGAGTTGGAATAAGTTTGAATAGCCCCCCAAATTGACCTTACAAAATAGAGCACCAGTTCTAAAGATTATCAAATATCAAGGTGATCTATAGGCGAATGTGATAGCTGACTGACTGAAGTCTATAAAAAAGTGTGAATCAATAGTTAGTGGCGTTAGTTACTGATGCGTGAAATTAGTTCGTAATGCAGTTGCAGTTGTTAGTTATATCAGTTTAAAATTTAAACTTCGTCTTATGCTATTTTATTTCATCTTCTTATTCTTGTTAAATGAGAAATCGAAACACAACTGTATCCTACCGAATTTTATTATGTACCATCTTACCAGTTTCACCCATTTCTATTTTTACTTTCCAAGCCGAAGATTGAATAACTACTAGGGGATAAACACAAATGTTCTAGATAGAATGTCTAGGTAGAATGTTCACTACGGTAAGGTGTTACAGTCGCGTTGCGCTCTCGCTGTAGATGCAAAAACAAACGCTTTTTCCTAAAATAAATGCTGATGATTTCGCCTCAAGCCTGGTAACGAAACATCCACGGCAAAATATCAAAGCTAAGAAAACACCAAACCATTATCATACATATGAATAGTCCTGTTGACATTTCAGTCTTTTTCATGAATTCTGTTTGTTTTTTCAGTGAACCAACTTACTTTTTCATCCTGTTGTCTTTTCCTGTAGCTTTTTTGAATATAACATCGTCCGAAGTAGATGAGTTGATGAAACGTCTACCACTTTTTGTTTTGAACAAAAATACAATCAAATTACTTTTAGAACAAATCAGTTGTTTCCAAGATTTTCAAGACGAAAACTTTCTCAGTAAATTGAAGGATATTATTGATGATGTGTGTGTAAGTTACTGATATTTATTATCACTACGTGTAGTGTTGGATTCCATACGATATAATGTTGAACGTTATGTGAATGACTCCTTTGTACTCAAAATGCATCTTTAGATTCAGATACTTTTTATTCTAGTGTACATTGTAAAGTGAACTAAATGCGCTGTAATTGCTCATCCATTTGCTTTTAGGTGAGACAATCACCTACCAAGATACAACAAAAGCCTAGTAAAATATTCTTACGTTTGCGGAAATGAAACACTAGTACAAACATCTAGGGAGCAGAAACAAGTATAACCAAGAATTATATTCGCTCAACCACTTCTTAGCCAAAGGTACTCGAGGGTTATTGGCTGGTAAATAAGTTTTGGCAATAGACTATAGTCATATCCATTGTGAAGTCCCTTAGAAGGGGAGAATCAGTAATCACATGTCTTGGGTAACATGACTTTAGTATAAGTGTAAAACTTAGGCATCGTGGTGGGACATAGTTCCGCACTAGATTTGTTTATTTGACACCACACAGTATTAACTACTGGATGACGTTTCAACCAAAATTGATTTCTTATAATGACATGACATGCAATAATTTATGCTCAAAACGTCGTCAGGTAAATCATACTGTATCACTGCACGCCATATCAAATTAAAAAATTAAATTGACTTTAGGTTGATCAAATTAGTTTATTTGCACCTAATTTTTTATTCTTAAGAGGTTTGAACATTTTTTTTAGTCTGTCTAGCATTACTCACCTTTATTTCTCTTCTGTATTGTGTTGAAATGCAGCAGCTTAAACTAATTTATCATAATACACTACATCGCCCCAATCAGTCAAATGAGATATAACTATTGTCTGGCCTATCTTTTTCAAATGAAAACGTTTTGTAACGTAATTGGATTGCCTCAAGGAAGTTATACTTTGTGTTTACGTTTATGGCCTTTGCCAACTTATACCATTTGTTGTTATGGTGCGATATCCAATTGCCTGTTAAGTTTCCAATGTTTCAATATATGGCTTTGAAATGTAGCCATTAAAGGTAGAAAATATAAGAAGTCTTCTGGTGTTCGATCACCATTCCCTTTATAACACATCGTGTGTTGTGATGCTCCCATGTCAATGCTGCAGTAGTCAGGTATAGAGTTTTAGGCAGAAGAGATCAATTAGTTTATGTGGTTATGAACCTTCATTGACTCAGATGGTCACCGTTTGCACAGTAGCGTGTATAGGTTCAGAATGGAAAAAGGTTAGATTGCCAGACTAAAACATGACATCAACCCCTGAAGTCCCCAGCTATCGGTTGAAGACGTGTAAAGAAATATAGACTTCTAAGTTGGGATTAGTGTGACAACTAGGATAGGCGGTTGGAGACTCTTAGTGATATCGCTCAATCTATCTCAATTCCACAGATGTATCCACACATTATCTTCATCTTATTCGTCATGTCAAATTTCATTTTTGTTTCATTCCGTGTTTTTCCTCTTCTTACAACTTTCCATCTCTTTTCATCAGTTTCTTCTTGATTTCTCTGCCATCTATAAGTTCACCATTTCTGTGTGTTGATATGAGACATGGTAACTTAGACCATTACGCAGTAATGCCAGTTCCTATATTGATACTGTTATAAAGGTTAGATGAATTCGGTGTCATCATTAGTTAACATATGAGCATTAAGAGCTATTCTATGTTTCATCTTCAAGTGAGGTAAGGGTAAAAATAGACTGAAATGGAAGCTTACACAAGAATATGATGGTTTTGATTGTTCTGCATCACAGCAGCAATAAAAGAATGAATCAGGAATACCAGAAAAATATTGAAATTAAGAAGTATGCGAGGTGCAAAAGAACAAACGAATAAAAGATAGATGCGTGTTTAAAGTTGCAAGGTAGAGAAATAGCGAAATAAGAGCATTACGTCAAAACTATAGCTGTCAGTCGTTATTTTATTTCGCTTCTTTGTAGTTATCGAACACACACATCTAAAATCCCATTGATTATAGTTAGTGAAATCGACTGGTTACCCTTATCAATGAGATCTTCGTAGAATAAAGTTCACTGGATTGGCTTTTAATCTTCGCCTATAGTTTAATTCGTTTCATATATCTCTTATGGAAGACACTGGACTAACACTAAAGTCAAATTTGAGGCATGATATTGCTGTGCAGCGATCCAAGTTGCCACACTTCATATTAGCCTATCAAGATACAGAACGAAAAGTAAAGAAATGCACTTCTTGTATACTGTGTATATATTCAAAGACCTTAACTGTATAAATCTATTTCCTATTTGGTCTACTTTTTCAAGTGACTATGTAATGCAGAATTATTTGCCCACTTGTTTTTCCATATCACCTTGTGTACAAGATGTCAACGACTCCATTGAAACAACAATATATCAGCAAAGTTAGTTACACCAAAAAGACAACTTTTCTTTTAAAGAATGAAAGATTGTATCAATCTTTTGGCTTCTTTGTAATTAATGAGGTTTTAATGCAACTCATTAGTTAAATACCACTTTATGCACCGTGTCGTGGGCGATACCAAGCATACCCACTTTTTGGCTATACAATTGCACTGCGTAAATCCAAATGGGCAAGTTGGGGTCGAACTCCATGGTCAATTGAATAAAATGTAAAAGCTTTTGACAACATTGCTATGGCTATTTGACATAGATATTAAATATCCTCATGATAACTTGTAAGCATTTAAGTAGTAACGGAAATTTAATGTATGTTATAACTGTTGGTTTGTGATATTCGAACTTCTCTACTTATTTGTAGGACAAAAATCCTGTAAGTGTAATGGATGTTGATTCGCCTGAAGAACTCTTAGTCTCAATACCTGCTGTTAATCGGATCAAATTTGAGCCTTCTTTACATCTTAGCAAAGAAGTCACTACAACAGAGAAGCAGGTGATTTTTTTGGTATCTTTTTATGTTCTCTTACTGTCCGTTTTACGCGCAATAAATCAGGTGTCGCTTAACACTAATGCATACTTTCAGATAGCAGGTGTTTTCGTATAGATTCAATAAATAACATTCTAATGAGCAGGATGTATTCAAGTCATTGAGTCAGTACCACCTGATCCTCACTAAAATTAGATTCAAAGTCTAAAATCGTATTGTAGTTTACTTGGTGGCTACCAGTAGAATTCAGGATGCGCGTTTCATCTTGTTTGGGACTTGTCAGGCAGATGTACCTACACTCCAGTGAGCCATTTTGTTCCTGCCGGGACTCGAACCCATTACCCATCGGTTCAGAAGCTAAAGCGTTATGCACTGGGGCGCGAGAGCCACGTCTTGTGCAGTGGGTATCAGTCATTGTTTGTTACTTGTAATCTCCCGCTACTGTAGTGGGTTATCTTATCAGTTGGGAAATTTGACGTTTCTATGAAGTGATCCACACACCAGAAATTCATAGATGACTGATTTTGAAAGTTGTATTCCTATTAGAAAAAAATAAGAAGTCGATTCATTGTTTTTCCTTACAATGAAATACTACTATCTCTACATGGAGTAAATGAAGGTGTATCTGTTAAGTTTGATCGCCGTTCGAAAATGTCTATTTCTCAGACCTTTTTTTGTCGAACGTGTATAAAACGCTTTGTACAGGAATTTAGCGAGTAATATATTTTATGAATTTATTAAATATGATCTACTGCATTCTTCAAAGCATGCATATGCACAACTTCCACCAACCATTCACTAACATCCGTACATTAACAACAAATTATCATCTTCAACTAATTCAGTGCGCAAATATCACATGCCATACTCTGTGTTGTCAAAACGCTGTAAAACATCAATTTCAGGATCGTTGTCAAGACTTGTGCTTCTCGCATATTCCATGAAACTGCTGTTTATATAACGTTAGCTGTCTTGTCTAAGCTTCCACAAATCATTTTGATTTAAGCTAGATAAAAACATTTGTTATATACTGATGCATTGTTGCATTCTGGTTAGAAATCTTTATTGTACTGTTTTTCTTACCGAGTTTATGCTGAAACCTATTTTCATGACTTTACCTTCGCTCGCTCACAGTGATACACAAGATGCATAAATGATTTCATCAGTTTTGAGTAAGCTTATCCTTCATTAGTGTAAACCCAAATAAAATAATAATAAACTAACAAATGCAAATACAATTTGACTCTAAAAGTGTATCCGATTGGACTTGCTTCAATTAGTCTGACGAATAGTATAGCTGACCTCTTTGTAATTGTTGTTTTTCATAGCCTACTCAATAAATGAGTCACTTAGGTGGAGAGATGTCACCCTTACCTACTTTTAGTGTATGCGTTAGATGACGTTAACGAAGGGACTGAATTCCACCTGTTAACCTTTTATAAATGGATTATGGTGATTAGTTGGCTGGAGGCAATCGGCAGGAAGACCTGAACCTAGGTTTCGCGCTTCCTGGCACTCATCAGCAAGGCGTATCTGCAATCTCGACGGAACTGGTGTCCCACCTGAGACTCGAACCCGCGTCGTCCAGTGTTGTAGTCAGCGACTTTACCTCTGAGCTATTCGGGCCATGATTGACCTCCTGTAGGACTGGCTTACATGTATTGATTGGTCATGGGTGTGCAACCAATTCCATGTTGTCTAGTTCTGAGTGCAGACCGAATTCTATCGATCATATTTGCAATGTGGCAACCAAGCTAGAAAGCTCAGCATTATGCTGATTCACACTTCTGAGTATAATTCGCTTACTTTGTTTTTTATTATTTTCGGCATTACTTAGTGAAATGAAGTTTTGTATTTCTCTTTCAAAACAGATTACTGCTGCATTACAAGAGAAAAAAGTAAAATTCGATTCAAAGAAAACTCTATATCCAGCGGAAGAGTTGATGCATCTTACAGCTCCGTAAGATTTTCTTGTCTACTTTTGAATGAATTGTAAAGTTTAACAAAATATTTCTGTCATTTCATGTATTAAAAATCCAGAATCTCAGTAAATAAACAGTAAATCGTAAACCGAAAAGCAAGCTGGTTCGTAATAAGGTCACGGGTACGCACTACTGAAGAGTCCTGTACCGGGACGAAATAGCTTTTTAGTGCTCCCAGGTTTTCAGTGATTCTCTAACTTATGTCAGTTTGTGATGGATACTACCTTGATAATTCCTTTAAGTTACGCTATGAAATGGAAATTGGTTGAAGAGTGATGCAACGAAAAATACCTATCTTGATGTGAAATATGCCTGCTAATAATAGGCTTCAAGTATGAACTCATATTTCTACCTACGTTAAGGTTTGGTGTCCGTAATATGACTAAATTTCCTACTAATTTTGTCTTGTCACTTTGGAAATTAAGGTGTTATACTAAAGCTTGTTTCTTAGAAGTATGGATGCTTTTCTCCATGAGGAATTTCTTTCACCAAAATGAGGATATTCAAGAAACTAACAAAAATCTGTGAAATGCAGCTACTCAAAAATACGTTATAGTCTAACGAGTATCTTCTGTAGGCTAAGTAAACAAAACCCGGCTTCTCGTTTAGACGCTTAAGTAGAATGGCTATTTGTACGATGTTTGCATCGAGTGAGTGAGAAACAACACATTTTTTACAACACAAAAATCCATCAGTAAGCCTTACACCTATCTTTTCCTGTGTGTACTTCATTTCCGCCAGTTACCGACACCGTTACTTTTGTAGTTTCCTCATCTTATTGTTCCAGCATTGGTTAACGATATGATCCCACAAAATAGAGTTACCAATCTTTTATAACTGTAGTTCAGACTTTATAATAGAATATGTAAACTGTGTTAACGAGAACGGCAGGCTTTATTGACTGAAACCTAAGTATTCAAGCTACGGATGAAAGACCTAAGTATGATTATTTGCTTGACGTCCTATAGTTGATTTGATTATCTGTTACCAGTAACATAAAGCTAAAAAAGAAGTAGTTGTTTAAAAACAGCTACTTACATGTAGGGTATCATCATATTTTCATTTAGTTGTTTTGAAAGATTTATTGTTTTTCACCGAACTAATTGTATGACAATTGTAAACTGAACAGCTAAAGGACTATTTAGACCATGGTATTCATATATCCTTTTTCAGTCATCTTTCTGAGTAACTTTTGCCATATGAACTCATAGATAATAGTGACAGAAAGCTCTTGTTTACTTGTTCATAAATTTAAGTTTCATCTACCGAAATTGGGACAGTCAAGTTGTGTAGAGTTAGCCCTCACGCAGCAAGTGCATCTCATAGCCTAGTATGCAAATTTTTACGTGGTTAGTGGGTTATATTAATTCAAACGCAACGCATCATCTAGTAGACTGTTGACCACATTTGTTGTGTGAGTACTTTTTCTATCCACCGGTTACCCATATCGAAGCGGCTGAAGTATGATTGCTTGAAAACTGATGAAGCACATGGATATATATATTATATTGGGATATATAGTTGACCTGGTTAGCGAAAACTTCATGATTACGTTCCATATCTGATTATGAGTTAACTGCCTTATTTATGGAGTATGTTATTATTCGACAAGACTATTAGATGTAATTTGTCTGAATTGTATAATGCATTTGTGCAACACATTTTAAACAATATGAGCACACACTTGTATTTATCTGAAAGGTTGCAAAGACGTCAAATAGGAAGGGTACAATTGAAGGTCAAAAAACAATGAAAATCAATAGAGAAAAATAACACTACTATTATATAGAAGTAGTACTCATCATGGACTGACATCAGTTAGCGAACCATTGAAAATCTGGGAGCACTGGACAGCAATTCGTCCTAGTATGGGACTCATCAGCAGTATGCACCCACGACCCGGCTAGGGGTCGAACTCAGGACCTTCAGGTTTCACGGCGAACGCGTTGACCATCCAGCCACTGGGCCGGTTTCCAGTGGTTCACAATTTCCAACTTCTGTCAATTCACAACATAGCGCGACTGTCACCCATGTCTTCAGTTAGCATCCACTTCACTTCCGACTGGTTGACCCCATAGGTCACGGCTTCGCATTAGAGCTTCGTGATATCCATCTGGAAGCAAGTCATTAATGGACACTATGCAGTAGTGCATTTTTGAGTTCGATCCCTAGCCGGGTCGTGAGTGCGTACTGCTGAAAAGTCCCATACTAGGACGAAACAGCTGTCCAGTGTTCCCAGATTTTAAATGGTTCCCCAACTGATGTCAGTCCATGATGAATACTACTTCTAAATTAAAAATCCCCCATTCATCTCAAAAATGCATTACTATTATTATATGTTTGGATACAACTGAATGACGATTGTAATTAAAGGTGAACTTAAATTCGACGTTTTTCTCAATGACTTGTGTTATCATTGTCATCCATCTGCCGACCAAGGTTATCTTACTCATATACTCTTTGAGTTGTAATCAACTATTCTGTTAATATTTTTGTTCTCATAACTTATAAAATTAGAGATACGGATTCATTTGGAACATATGGTCTATATGAATTAGTGAATATATTGCCAAGTAATATACAGAAGTTATTGACAAAACCAATTCTACTGGGAGAAGACATACAGTATGACCTTATTCTTTGTACAGTGCACCGCTTACTCTTTGAACGTAATCAGTTCTACGAAAGTAACATACAAGAATTCAATTTGGGCGGGAATCATAATTACTTTTTAACTGAATTATTAAATCAAGCTAATCCAGCCTTTTTATGTAAATCAGTCTCTATACTGTTACAGTATAATGAAACGGAACAAATACAGTGAGTTACTCGTTTCATTTTATGTAAATTGGTTTTCATATATACCCATGAAAAGTTGCGTTCATCGCATGTAAACCCTTAAGAAACTAACCAAACTTCGAATGATCCACGTTGAATCTTACCTTAGTATTCTATTTGCTGATGTGTATATAGAAAAAGAGAGTAAGGTGAGTCACTTTGCAGTAATACTGAGGTAAACAGTTTTTGGCTTTTACTAAAGATAACAGCACAATTATCACAATTTCCTACGAGTCTTGTCTTTTGTGTAGCGATTAGTATGACTAAACGCCTATCTGAACCTTGGAAGGTATGGTGGGATTCTTGCCTATAACCCACTGATTCAGAGATTAAAATGCCTAGATGAATGGACTGAATGCCTGCATTAGCATCAAGCGGAGATTCATGTTGCTCTCTGAATCATGCATTATTTTCCTTCGTATCACGAGTGTTGCTCATAACAATTACAGCATTAGATGTTGCTGCTTACGGCGTACCAATCATTTTTCGAGACAACCATTGTGATGATTTTAAAGTTCATATAAGTGTTATTAAGTACTTACTAAGAGTAACTCCTTTCATTTATATTTCACACTTCACATAAACTGACTCTTTCCTTGCAATAGCAGTTTTTATATGACTTTTGCATGTCAACCAGGTTTATCTCGCAAGGAATATCTCATTTGTAACAGGAACTTTAATAACTTTCGACCACCTGCTTTATCATTAACTAGTAAGATAAATTTATCCGAAAACGAATAGTTTCCTGTGGTGATAATTTCTGTCCCATGTATCACTTTTTCTTGTAGACAAACATGAGAGGATACGTGATCAGTTTACATTTATTGTTGTAGTGTTTCTTGAAATTTGGTTTTGCATTGGCCGTTTGTAGAAGTGTACAGAATTTCTTGTATGTCTATTAGTCTGTTTATTCATACGTCATTTACATATTGATCTGTATGGTTTCAATTTCAGTGCTATGTTAACTCTTCATTGTTTACTTTTTTCGCATCTTATTTTCATTTTAGAACAAGTAAGGCTCTTGATTTCATGACAGCATTGTTTACTTTACCGCGTCTACTTTACCCTGTGCCACGTGCTGAACCCCGTGATCGTCCAGATGCTTCTGTTGCTCTAGCCTCAGTACATCGTTTCTCATTACTTCAAGCATGTAAGCTTATTGAATTTGTCATCATAGAAGCGTATGAATTGATCAAACAAACTAATAGTGAACGTACTCTGAACTGGGATGTGAGTTTGCCTGAAGTGATATTTTTACAAACTATCTACCTATATGAAATGAAGTCTTTAATTAATACTTTAGATGCATGAAATCGGTGCCAATTTTTATAATTCCCATTTCAATTTTGTTAACCAAATGCACATGATGTGTTTCCGGTTAACTAAAAGATACTTTTTGCGGTTCACATTGTTAGGCTGACAGTTTATTTTACCATTTAATGTATTCGCCATTACATGTTTTAAGAAATAGGATGATCAGTTTGCAAATTACACATTTCTCACAGCTGAGCAGTTTTTCAACTGCCTAACCGAGGTCTCAGTCAGGTTTCCTCTGGAAACCACTCAGCCGAGATCACAAGGTTTGATCTCTGACACAAAAGTGTCATGAACTAGCGAAAGATACTACTACTGAACAACTTGTGTAGTTAGAAACCACTCAGGCTAGTCTGTAGTATTTCTCTAGCCAGATTAGAGCGATCTAAACACCGGACAGCCAAATGGTTTTTAAAATACTCCACTTTGGTGTCAACAAGGTTTCCGTTGGGAAGTTTAAAAACTCAGCTCTGTGAAACGTGAATGTGGACCGTACAATTTGTAAATCATGTGCAAATTAATCATCCTATTTTAGGTATACTGGTCCATATTAGTCAATTATCCAGGTCTAGATTATGTGAACTAATTCGGTTGTATGAGCTGAATTTGTCTGTGTACACTGCCGATAAGCTAGCTCAACCCTAAACCATCGAAACGGCCGTCCGGTATTTAGAACAACTTGATTGGTTTTAAACTACTCAATTTGTTCATTAGTAGTATGTTTTGAGAAACTTAGCATGATGAAACTGTATTTCTTTAGTTCTTACATGTTGTCACTACTACTAGTCTACACATCCACTGTTTTGTTTTTCTATTTATCATTAGTCATCCACTCAAGATGCATTACTATATTGTGTAGGTAAATTAGCTATCGACTAATAAATAACACTATCTGTGTGTTACCTCTATTATAATGAAGTCTTTGTGTGAGGACGATGTACTACTATGATTTTTAAAGAGGTCCACTCTTTGTAAACCTTATCTTCTCGACATTCCTTCTTACAGTGATTGTATTTAACGATATTATTCACTAAACTATTCAATTTTTCAGCGGTCAGCTATCGTTTCACGAGTACTCTAATATCGTGAAAATCAGCACTCACTACCACATAGTTAAACAGTTTATGAATGTCATAGAATAAATATTTTACCATTAGCCAATTTTTCATAGAATCTAAAAACCACCGAATTAACATACACAATTTATGCAACTTGTAAAGTGAATTGATATGGACTGCCATTTCTTTCTATATCGTTTACTCCAGGTACTGAACAAGTTATATTCAAAGCGTATCCCATTACTTGATATGGTTATCATACAATGGCCTAAATCTTGTATAGTCTTACTAGAGATTATAAGCGGATTGGTCGATATTAACAATATAGATCCTGATGATCAGTTTACGTGTGATGGCAGTTTGCCCGTTTCATGGATAAAGAAAAATCACATTATTAAACGCATAAAATCTGATGAATTATGGTCTACTCTTGCATTTCGATTAATTTTATGCCTATATTTTCGTCGACCTGGTATAGCAAATTTATTTACTTCAAGTTTAACACAACAACTGGTTTGTCATCCATGTCCGTCTAATAGTAAATCTTCCAGTTTACACTCTTTAATGGAAAAGTTTGGCCTTTTAAATCAACACAGTTCAAATATTACACAACCAGAAGTAAGTATTATATGAATAAAAACTTTCTGTATTACTTATTCATTTGTTTGGTTTTTGACATTTCTTTGGTCCTTATCGCAGTTACTTATTTCGAGCTATAACATTCGTAATGATTTTTATTATAGTGAGTATTGATAGTCTAAGGTGTGAACTTTCAGATAGAGTTATCCTGTTATTGCTTATAATTTCCTGTCGTTAATTAAGCCGTAATGATCGATCTGTATTGGCATATGGACCCCGGCACACAGATGCCTCGATATTGCCTGTAAATTCAATTTGATAGCATTGACCGATAATGGCTAGTAATGGAATCTAGGATGCGCGTTTCATCTCATTTGGAACTCGTCAGCTGGACGTACCTACCCTCCCAGTTCTGGGTCCGAGTCTTATTGGGAACAACACTCACTGAGTGGTAGGTGCATCCAGCTGATGAGTCGAATAAAAAAAATGCGCGTCCTGGATTCCACTGCTAGCCACTATCCATGATTACCGTGAGACGGAGTTTATCGTGTTTGCATTCAGGTCGACACCAACCTTGTCATTGACTGCAAAGTAAAACGACTTGATATTCAGTTAGTTTCATGATGCGTTCGGTAACACAGCGTAAACTTGAATAAAAAGATTTGGTAGTGTCCTAAGGTGATTGTTTGCGCTTAATTAAACGTTTAGTGTGCGAACCACTTCACTTACATTCGATAGCTTTATTTTGTTTGTGAGTGCAATTAGAAGCTTTTTATGTAGCCCTGTAAAATCGTGTATGTTCGCTTGATGAACTGAGTGTTAATCGCATCAATTCCCTCTGTGTACATAATTTAAGGTGGGTAACACTCATCCGCCTTGTGGTTAAAATTCTACTATCTAAACCATTTGACTATCACTTTAAATGTCATTTCAATGAAATCAGTCGATTGTATTTTTGCTTGATTGAAGTGACAAAAAAGCTTTGGTTTAATTGTATAAGTTGTTGCAACTAATAAATATTGGTTTTGTTTGACTAGCTGTAACCACTGAAACTTTAATAATCTGTACGTGTTTTACTTCAGTTGAAATGATAGTTCCCATATCATTAGTTTGGTTCTTATATAACACTGTTTATCTCTTGTATAAACATATAGGAATGTGAGAGTAAGTACGAGGTCTGGGCACTTTGGTATACTGTGATTCTATATTAGACTAGTCTGTTTGATATAACACTATAATACATGCTGATGTAGTATTATGAACTAGATACTATGTCGTTGTGGGCTATATCAAATAGATGAATCTACTATGGTACAAGGCCCGTAAATATGTAAAACTTATTTCAGTCAGGCAGAGATTAGAAATTTTCAGTATTGATCATTTTTTGTCTTTTGTGTATGAAGTGGAGTTGGCATGTAATTTTTGATTATCAGATGTTTAATTGTCTATGAGAAATGATAGAGACAGCTTCAGAGATAGATTTATCAAAAACCAACATGCTATCGACAGAGTTAACATGTTTTTACAGCTTTTTTATTACATATAAAATGACGAAAATTATTACTTTTCTTTTTCCTTGAGTTTATCTTCTATGCTTACATTGGATAGAAAATTGATATCCTTTCAAAAACTGATTCATCTCCTGATGAATACGAAATCATCTCGATTTCCTTTGCATTTCTACCGTACTGTACAAATGGATCGACAAACAGATACAAGATCAACCTCGCACGCAAGTGCATTGGTTCAAGATGCCACACTTCACAGTAGTATACAAAAAGTAAGCGGAGAAAAGTGATATCAAAGTAGACAAAGGTGTGTGAGAGAATAAATAATTTGAAGATAATGGCTGGTACAGATATGCAACCTTTAGTTTAGAAGGTGTCGAGGAATAAATACATCTGCAGAACTTTGACCGATTTTCATCCATATCACCAAGAGTCCTCAGCCACTGATTCCCTATCATCTCGGGGACCCCGACCAGACAGTCTACATCTCCCCACACGTCTTAGACCAACAGTCAGGGAATTCATGCACTGGCGCCACTGTAAAAATGTTAATGAGTGGATCTGTGGTTTAAAGGTCACGAAGCTAAAATACTATAAGTTTACCTGTCAGCAGTAATTTATAAAATATTCTTTTCTGTTGCTGTGTGGGATACCTTATAGATGAATACTGTAATCCACTAGGTCAGAGAAGAAACATCACTTCATGAAATATTTGTGGTTCGATCTCAGTTCTTTGTTACTATGATCACAAATCCGTAAACCTAAGGGAAAAGACATTGTTGAGGCATGTTCACACGCATTTACTAGAAAATCTTTTAAAATCAAAAAGTACTGGATATCCCTCAAATCTTGCAATTAAATAATGATCCAATGCTAAGTAGAGTGACTTCCTATGAGATAAATTTCTTGAAGTTCTAGTTTAACATTGTGACTTGTGGAGTAAACCAAGTGGACTGTAAAAATTAATACACACAGTTGACGTTGGATAATGGTTCTGCTGTAACGAAAGTACTATAACATCTTTATAAGTGAATCATGATGGTTGTTTCATATACAACGCTTAGCTAATCGAAGACAAAAACTAATCGTCAAATCGTAACACAGAACTTGCTACAACTATGCTTTCTACCAATTTGTTATGCTTCGTGAACTAACTCAGATTTTTAATCAATTCATTCAGAAGAGTATCGTTTTTACTCAAATTTACTTGATACTAATTCTTTATATTTACTCTTACGGTACAATATCATCTCTTATAATCTTCCTTACTGTGACTATTTTCAGAGGCAAACAAATATTATTAGTTGATTTTACAATATTTTATCAATTTTGATTTAGTTAAAATGTACATGCAAAAATAAGTATCTTAACTCTCTTCTATATTGTTGTTATCTTCACTAAGATTGATCGTATTGGTCCAATTATACTAGTCACTTTAACCTCATCCAATTTATCGATTATGGATACTGCTCAGTTAGCTTGTAAAGCTTTAATTACTCATCATACAAGGGCTTGTCTACGTATGTTGCCAATTATATGTGGTTTAAGTGAAGGACGACTTGGTATGACATGGACACAATTTATGAAGAAACATTATCATTTATTATTTTCTAATTTGTTACATATCCTGGAAATATTATCGAGTATATCCATTGACTGTTCATCAGAAACACTGCTTGATGTTTGTGCAAGTAATGGTTGTTTGTCATCTGTCGAAAACAGTGCCTTGTTCAGTAGAGAAGTACTACCATACAGGTAAGATTAGCTTTGTATACTTGTTTCTGTTTTGTACGTGCATGGTTTAATCACTGAGTTCAGAAGTCTTTTATTAATGAATGTATTCTCTTTGCACCCATTCGATGCCAAATTTATAATTCTTAGGGTGTCTGTGGCCTCACACTGACACTCACTGGTACTAACTCATTATCTTTATTATCATGCCTATTAACCCTCCTTCAATGTATCTATTATAATTCTTTTCTAGGAAAAATGGTTGGTGGTGATAGGAATTCAGAACCAGCTTATCAGATACCTAAGTTTTCCTTGTTTGTTAGTCTTCATCAAGAACGTATGCTAAAACATGAAGTGCGTTTAAACATGCGTTAATCCCTTTCCCATGGCCAACTAACCCATACTGGAAGGGATTATCTACATGATTTACTCCTTTTATAGTGACTAAAATAGCATTGCGGTCCTTCTAATTCCATACTATTTAGCCTCAGTCCAGACTTAGGATGAAGGTCAACTGCTAATAGTTTACTTATTAGTAATATTGATATTAAGCGACGATTGAATGCGTAGTGGAAATCTGGGTTGTGGAGGAATGCGAACTAGTGGTCTCTGAATCAACTGCTCAGTGCTCTACGAACTGAGATACGAAACCTATCAGCTGGGACGTTAACCCGGAGGCCTCTGGTTCGAATTCTATCATGAATCATATTTTCGTCCTACCTTCAATGTAAGTCTGCAAAACCATGGTTATCTCACATAGTCAAACTGATTATCAGCTTAATACTCCCCCCTGTCTAATTCGTCTCCATTTGGAATAGGATGAGATGCTTTGTCTGGGCAATCAGTGAGAGAACACGGTGAACGGACAGTTAAACATCACGAATTCACACGGCGGTCGGGCAAAACCCTTAGTGATTGAAGTGGAACTAAGATCTAGTCAGCATCTGCGTCTCAAAGCTCAGTTGTTACAGCACTAGGGCAGTAACCCGGAGACCACTGGTTCGCATTCTTCCATAACCCAGATTTTCATTTCAGTCATCACCTAGTATCAGTAATGCAATTCTATTAAATAATTATTAGCAATGGTTCAAAAACCTCCACTAAGTCATAAAAAGGATGTTGAGTCAAGATTCATTTTTTTTCAGTAATGTCATTCTTTAACCGTACAAACACATTTAAATTTCACATTCACCTGACAACCGAAAAAGCACGATTTACAAAGCGTTTCTCAACAGAATGCACTTTTGAATATGAATCAGGAGATCGGATAAAGAATTATGTAGTTTCTACAATAGTAGTGAACAGAAGAGTTATCAAGACCTAAGCAATATTAAGTTATAAAGTTAAATCATATTATGTGGTTAAATGTGGACGAAAGGTGACCTCGTCTCAAATACCTGCCGATTTTATGAACTACCAAGGGTGAACAAAGAGGGTACAACTCTACTTCCGACTCTCTACGTAACAGGATCACCTTATAGTCGCACTGTCCAATATTTAGTCAGACTCCTGGAACTCATCAGGTATATCTTACTTTATTCACTTCGTGGTCCTTTTGATTTTGTCAATTTTATAGACGATGTTAATCGTCCTCGCAAAGTTATATTCTCCTTAGATGTTGGCTTATTTATTATATGTGTCACACTGACTGAGGTAATATGGTTATAATGATACTAATTTGGGATATCTTAATGGGTGTGTTAATGCGGTGCTCTTAGAACCTCTAATTTCACTCTAACAAGAAAATATATAAGCAAAAGGATGGCACAACTTTGAGCTTTTTGCTTGCAAATTTCCTATGCAGAACATAGAAAGACACACTTGAGCAGGATGGTCGACTAATTTGAACTTTATATGCTATAAGTAGACGATGCCTTCATTATATCTAATCATGTAGTTAACCTAGAAGAGATATGTCATTTTAACAACTGTCATCCTGTAATTAAGTTTATATTAGAGGAGTAATTTGATTCTAAGATATCCTTTTTGGACGAACAGTTGTTAAAATGAAATAATAGAACAGTCAAAATGCCCATCTACAAGAAACCCCCCACGGAATCGACAAACTGCAAATTTTTAAAATTTGTTGGTTTTAGACATCAAGTGAAATCTGATGTGTTCTTTATGCCATGGGATTTGTAGATAATGTAGTCCTAATAATTTGGAGGAAGAAGAACAAGTTTTCATAAAAATATTATATCCCGAGCGTTTCACTATAAAAACTAAGAAAGTTAAATCAGCTAATCAGTTCATTTCTAGAGTTCCTACGAATCTACAAGATAATCTATAAGGACCAATAAAGTAAAACATATAACATATTGTCTCAGCCAATGTGGCACTTGTCATATGAAGAGAATGTAATCTTGTAAGATCAATTAAAACTGTCCATAAAATTGATGAAATTAAAAGAATCATACAGAGAATTAAGTAAGACTTACCTTCTGAGAGGTTCCAATTCTCCTAAGCATACAACATGATTCAACTTTATAACTTAATATTGCTTAGGTCTTGATAACTCTTCTGTTCACTACTATTGTAGAAACTACATAATTCTTTATCCGATCTCCTGATTCATATTCAAAAGTGCATTCTGTTGAGAAACGCTTTGTGCTTTTTCGGTTGTCAGGTGAATGTGAAATTTAAATGTGTTTGTACGGTTAAAGAATGATATTACTGAAAAGATCGACTTTCTACTTTGTTCGGTGTGTTCGGAGGCTATCAGCAGGAAGTCCTTAACCTAAGTTTTGGGCTTGTTGACAGTCGTCAGCAAGATTTATCTGGAAAAAATGAAGCAACTGATATCCCCTCAGTGATTTGAACTTACCTCATTCATTGCTGCCCTGAGAGACGCTACCGAAGAGGCATTCGAGCCGTTACTGACCTCCTATAAAACTTTGTTCGGTCACTGAAGAGTAATCAAGTTCATATTGTGTACTCTTAAGTCGTCAAGATCGAATTGGTTAATTTCCTGCAACCAGTCATTGTATTAAATTCCGTCCTCCCGGGGAGTTAATCGCAACCCTAATAGCGCAATGATAACGTCTCTGATTGTGGGACTAGGTGATTTTGGTTTTAATGTCTGACCGAATATCAACACCAGATACACCTTGCTGATAAATGCCAACAAGCCTGAAACGTAGGTCCAGGACTTCATGCTGGTTGTGTCTAACCATCTTACACTAATCAAGGTATATTGTTGTTCTGAATATCTTAGCTTAGTGAGCACATTACAGAACAACCTATATAATTTGGTCAGCACTTACGACTAGACAATGTGTAGCTAGTTACTCGCCAGTTACTATTAAGTGTACAGCTGAGTCGTTGATGAACGCTTTTGGTTTAATAATAGTAATCACATCAAGTCGGTGTACGTACTTCTGTTTACTACTGTTGATTTCCCCAAATGAAACTAGAAAACATACATTATACATGGTCGCCGAGAACGAACGACTTGAGTGTTACTTTTGCATAGTGGAACTAATAATTTAACACTGTTTAGGTTTGACATGGACCCCATATGTTGATAAAAACGAGTTTTGGTCCAGTACTAGTTATATCAGCTGGTGTTGAACATACCTCTCAAATTATCTGCGCCTGCTCATCTGCTCGATTCAGAATGTGATTGGGTTAGAGAAATGTTAGGCATGATTAAGCCACTCAATAGAAGCAATGCTCAAAATAGTTGACTAAGTTGTGCACGGAATTAGGAACGACACGGGACCCACAAGGTGATAAACATTTATAGGGAGAGACTGTATCCAACGAGAGTGGTGTTCAGCGTCACAGACATAATCCCACTTCATCTCCTTTGGCGCTCATATTACTATTCGTATCCTCTTGTGTAACATTCTTTCATTTTAGGTCGTTTCCTCTGTGTGTTAGTAAGTGTTTGAGTTTAAAAGCATAAAATGTTCGAAACTGATACGATACTGTTAGTTTGCATGGTACAGTCGTATGATTTTTCGTAGAATAGTGACTTTTTATACTGATGGCAGGCTAGTCAATGTCGTTCAATTAACTGTAACATTAAAAGTTTTTCTAGCAAGAACTATCTATTCTTCAAGAAGTGATTTAGCAACTTGGTGAACAGCTGGATGAAGTTAGTTGGATGGTTGACTCTAGATTCAAATTTTTTTTTGATAAACTATAAAGATTACTGCAGATGAATTAAACTCACCATCTTAAAAATGTACACTATCTGCATTTCAAGTTCTACTGCTAGACATCACCTGGTATTGTTGAATAGTGAAAAATGTTCTCTCTCATGTGGTTTCATAATAGTGGTTCATTCTGTTTATTTTGAATCCACTGAAGAAAAATGTCTTGCTGGGTGATGCTTTATCTTTAAGCTAGTTTTCTTCAAATAGTCATTTTACTTGATAGGGTCGTTCAGTAACTAATTGATAAATAACCCAATGTTAAGAAAAGTTATAATTTTTACGTCGATAAGTTTTCTCCGAAGTCATTGGTTGCCGATTTGTTTCGAGTTGTGTATGCTATGCTTCTGACGAGAATTAGAAACTAGTATCTTGTGGATGTAAACTTGAAGTAGCATTACCTATGTCGAAGACATTGAATTAAATGAATCCATTTCCCTCCTTATTCTAGTCCTTTTTTTATTCTTCGTTTCATTCACCTATTTACTCTAGAGATGTTTAAAACATTTTCGGCAAAGAATTTTCTAATATTTCCGGTTTTAACAATCTCTGTTTCAGCAAATATGTGGAACGTCTTCTGGCAAACTTAGTTGCAGTTTTAGCTTGTTTTCATGGCCATACTCGTCATCTTGGTGGGTTCCCTAAACGCTTGGCCAGATTGCTTCAGTTTCATGCTCAATTTGCCCCATGGAATATGAATTTTGATGAAACTGTCAGCTTTTTAAAAGAAGATCAAAATATCAATGATAATCTCGATGTACTTGCTGAACAATTTGAAGAATTTGTTCCTATACCTTCAATGCTATCGCAAATCAACCAATCTTATGGAGATAAATATCGTTATTCATCTTCTCTTCTTTCAGTTATTTCAAAATGTCGTGGACAGATTAGCAAACAATGGAATTTGGCTGTAATGCAACCATTCATTTATCATCTTCGAACTTGTGTTCATCCTCAGAGTAAGCTATCCCCACTTTTAGTATGTATGTGACAAATGAAGAGAAAAAGAAAAAATTGTCTATCTCCAGACGTATTAAATAAACAAATGAGACGAACTACGAAATTTGGCGTTGTAAATGAAAGACGAAAGTGTAATTTTATCAGCAATGTTACAGAAACGTACCCTCAGAAAGACATAATTGCAAATAGTTACCGCCTAGAGACATATATTGGTGTTTAATTGAAAAGTATTGTGATCATATGAATTTTTCTGTATTATGTGTTCAATTGTATAACACAGCAATAGGTAGTACAATAACACTCTATGGTCGAAGAATTAATGCAAACACCTGGAAAATAGAGACAAGCCGTGGTCTGACTGGTAGTTGTCACCTTGACATTGTAATCGGGGTTGGATATCACAACTAGTTACGCTAGCTGAAATGCTTACTCTTTGAAGTCCTACTTACTATTCCAGGAAGGTTTGCTGGATAGTAGTAGCACAAAAAGCATTTGCCATCATTATGTGAATCACTGCATTATGACGGTAAAAATGATTTACAAGCCTGTTCATTTCACCTTATCGTGAACATTGAACACTCATTTTTCCAAGCAACTTGAAACCAATCGGGAATTTTTTATAATGGTGTTTTGCCACATTTCATTCTCTCCATCGAATTCAACTAAACTGCTGGCGTTTTTCGTCTAATCTTTTAGAGATCTGTAACTTCATTAGTTAGTCATCCTCCTTTATGTAGCATAAACGGTTGTTGTATAGTAAGCGAATTTCTATTGACAATAGTTACACTGAATCGGCATACTATAGTTTCTTGATTGCATTCAATTTAGTCAGTTATTGACGACAATGTTGTCTGCATTAGTATACCATAATTATTATTTATTAGTTCGTGTTAAATTACGTATTTCGAGTTTTTGTTGGCATTACTACTAATGCATAGGTGTCCGAAAAACTAGGTATTTTCTTCTTAGAATTGTTTTTAAGCATCCTTTTCCTTAACATCAGGGTTGTTTTTTTTCTAAGATTTTTATATACCATGTTTAATGAATATATTAACAGATAAACAAAGGTGGTTAATTTTCACACAAATATATTAGTTCTAGCTGCTACACTTCAGGCAGTGAAAAGTCACCAAAATAGGATGAAATTGTGATTCATAAGAATATAGATGAGTGAATAAAGGATTAAACAATGTTAATCAAGTTCATGAACAACTAATTCTTTTCGTCTTAAGATCTCAGTACATAATATTAGATTCTTATATGCAATTCCTTTTACGATTTTAAATAATAAATAATTTCATGTGAAAACTGCTTTGCTTACATATTCAAAAAGTTGTAACTGTGTATATGGAACAGAATTTACAATGAACACTAATTGTTAGGATGAATTTTAAACTTTGATTTCATATATCCTAGGTGTATTTGATAGTCTACTAGGATTTCCCATAACATACTCGTAATTTACCTTTTCTTCGATTTCAAGACTACCGGTCTAGATATTATACTAATCAATATTCTTTTTTCTTCGCTATATCCTTAATATCGACAGTTGTTTGCTAGTTGAAGAGTTATTAATTGTGAATTTATTTCACCAAACTATACAGTTTAGTCGTATCGTTTAGTTTGATTGTTGTGATCTCTCTATGAAGAATCTTTGGTAAATTACTATAGCGTATCTACTCACCAGATTTCAAGCGTACTGAATAACTGTATATTGAAGCAGTAAGAACAGAAAATAAATCAAGTAATTAATTCAAAGTTAAATATACTTTACTGTAGTGTGAATTCATATTTATGTTACTTTGCTGTATAGCAATGATAAATTACAAGTATTAAACAATAAAAAAATGATACCCGTCACATAAATGGCGAGTCTTTTACCCCAGCGACGTAAAGGATAACGCTTTGGCGTTTGAAGCAATGAGTATTTAGTTCGAGTCTCGACGGGAACAACATCATTGACTTGGGTCCCGGTACATCTGGCTGATGAGTTCCAGACAGGACGAAACGCGCGTCCTGGATTTCATGGCGAGTCACCAATATGAGTACTTTATATCACATTTGTAGGGTTATATAGTAATTTTGAAATTAGTTTCTGGCTGCCAATTAGATTGATACTGGTTTCAAGAGGAAACATTTTTTAATTAAAAAGAAAAAATAGAATAGATTTTAAGGGCTAACGAATTCGTCTTTGTTTTTCTCTAATCAATGTCTTCTTTTAATAATGGTAATGAAATTGTTATTTTACTAATAAAGATTTTTGTTATCGTTTCCATCTCCTTTACTCTATACAGTGCTTAGTAATTTGTTGATTGAATTGGAAATCGCTTCAAAACGGAGATCTTCTCTTTTATTATATTTCAAAGTAAGTCATTCTTAACTTGGTGTTAGCTTCTGTTTGTATTACATTTACACAACTTCAACTGCCACTCATTGGTTCTGACATTGAACTTTCGGTTGGTAGACCGCGTTTTCTAACCCTGCCTTACGTATTGAAGTTTGGTTACCCCGGGTGGTATTATCAGCCGTCATATTAGAACTGTAGTTTTTGACGCAGTATATGAATCTCCATATGACTTTCTAGTTGTATTTCCTGTTTTGTTTATTTGGCATTTGAAAACAATTAACGAGAAGCTCATTACTGAATCTATATAGCAATTCAATGTGAGGTCATGAAGAACGTCGAATTTTAGTAGTTGACACCTGGCTGGTTGAACCAGTGTAAAAAGTATTTTAAGTCAGCATCATCATGAAACCTGAAATCGCTGCGTAACGGTCCTCGTTGCTATGTCACAAAGCAAAAAGAGGGAAATCAAAAAAACGGAAATGATATAGTCAGAAGTCGTCAAAAATCGTGAGACCAAAAAAAAAGTTTAAAGCAAGTAACGAGATGTAATATAACACATAGAATAAACATAATAAGATGTTGATACATTTTTACCACTATGACATATTTTGATCCATATCACCTGGAGTCTCCAACCATATATATATATATCTTTAAAATTTTCCCTTGGGTTCCAAGCGGGACATAGGTCTTCAGTAGCACGCCTCCATTGCACTCTGTTCTCTGCAGTCTTTTCAACCTGGCACCACGACTGCCCACAAGCTTTCATTTCTTCCTCACATGATCTTCTCCATGTCACCCTCGGATACCTAACTCGTCGTTTCCCCTTTGGGTTCCACTCGAGGGCCTGATCTGGTGCCTGATGTCCCCTAATGGTCTTCTCAATGTATGCCGAATTCATCTGCACTTTCTTCTGCGTATTTGTTGGGTGATATGCTCTTGGTTGGTTCGTCGACAGCCAGGGTTCCTTGTTGCTTATTCTTTCTGGCCATCTCATCTTCAGTACCAAGTGAGCGTAGGCAGCAGCCGTTAATGTATGTCTGTAGCTTGTTGGAAATGCTTTCCATAACGCGCCAAGTCTCTCAACCATCACATAGAAGCACTGACTTGATTGATATTAGTATTGAAAATCTGGATTTCGTTCACGCTTTATCGTGAGTGCAGTAGATCTCCACACTGATTTCAGATTAATGAAAGCCTGTCCTACTGCCTTTCCCATCCTGGTTTTGACAACCTCGTCTGTGCCTGTGCCGCCTGTAGTTGAAACAATGCTGCCTAGTTGGTGGGTGAAGGAGACTACTTCCTTCAAGTTTCTTCCGTTAGTGGTGATTGGTGCTTGTTGTTGATGCTGTTGTTGGTTGGGCATCTTCATCACCTCCGTCTTCCCTACATTCACCTGAAGTCCCGTTTCGCTGCCTCGCCTCTTCTGTCAACTTGTTAGTTTTCGCTTGTAGATCTTCAAGTTTGTGTGACAAGACATTAGACATAAATCCTCATCAGCGAAATCCAAATCTTCTAGACTCTTCTCATCAGTCCAGCCGGCGTATGCCCCTCTTCATGAGTGATTGTAGGCAGCCTATATATATATATATATATATATATATATATATATATATATATATATATATACTACGAACTGTAAGGAAAACACTGTAGTGGGAATACTATTTACGAGGAATGCACTCTATTGATTGCACTATGTTGCCTGTGTGAGCTAGTGATTTCAACTTCTTTTGTACGCATTTTTACTTGGGTTAGTTTTGTCACGCCAATGTTTGTTCTGTTTTTTCAGAGTGAATTGGAATCACTTATTGGACATTCCTGTGAAACAGTTGCCAGTCTTGCTGTACGACTTCTATTGAGATTACTAAATTACTATCCACATTTGGCTCGTACGCTGGTCACAAATTCAATTATACCGTATCTCTGTACAAAATCACATAAACTCAATAGATTCACCTTGCCTTTATTATCCATGTTACCGGATATTGTTATGCTTGCGCCTTATTCAGCACCTACACTGATGAGACTATGTGCAGAACATATATTATTTGGAATTCCAGATGAGACCACTTACCCAGCCATCGATTACTTTGAAGTTAGCATTCGTCGACTTACGCTGGATGGCTTTGATGGTGCATGCATAGAACATGCAAGTTCTGCACTGACAACATCCGCTATGGTTAGAACATCATTACAATGAAGAAAAATATTTGTACATAAATTCACACATTATCCTATGATGAATATGTAAAGTAATTTTTTCAAACCACTTATCAGTCTTCAACTATACGGTGACTTCTTTTGCAAAATCTGTATTCTGATTTACTTAACTGCATAAAATCGTTTTTGCAACTAAAAGAATTTTGAAAACCATGACTCGTTAGAAAAAAAACATCACTCATTTCGTAGATTGAATGATGTTTCTCGTGAAAATAAACTAATAACTACATGAATTCCCGGAGTTGAAATTTAATGTAATGGTGCAGCTCATCAGCTATGCGCGGGTTCATGTAGTAACTAATTAGTCACACTATTTGTGAGATTTGTGATTGGTCGAGCTTCAACAAGTAGAATAGTGTTCGAACCCGTCATCCACTAATTGACATGATTCGACAAACTGCTGCTCCACTGTCTTGTTTATGACCACTCGGGTAATAATCTTCCTTACTATATTTTGTCTTTACCCTTCTTACCAGTAATTTCATGAAATAGTTGTGTTAAATATAAACCTTAAGTCTCAATTCCCTCAACTGTCTTAGTGCTATGCAGCGTTCAGCATGTTTTCAACATCACATGCATCTTTTGTTTCAACATAAATTTGATAATGTAAAATTTCAACTGGTGCAGTTTATTGAAAAAAACAACTTCCATGTAAGTGAGATAAAAAGCTTTGGTAAAATTTGAATTATAAGAACCGCTGATATGTATTTGCACTTGAAAACATTTTTTTTCTCATTTTGACTATCTGAGTTAGCGGTGATTTGGCAGATTAGTATTGATACTGTTTGGTGATTGAAGCTGAAACGAAAATTTGGACCTCAGTCGGATTCGAACCATCGACCGCCGGGTTTCCGGCCCGACGCTCTACGTACTGAGCTACGAGGTCCGACTCCTGACCAAATTTTTATTTCACTTCAATTACCAAGAGTTCTTCCCGACTACCATGTGATTCGTTTCCATCGCTTGATCGTACTCTGACTTTTTAACTAGACAGGGGGAGCACATAATTCAGCTAGATTGGGATTGGGATGAAAGTCCTGACTAGGCAGCCAGTGTGAATACGACCAAGCGATAGTAACGCATCACGAACTCACATGGTAGTCGGAAAAAACCCTTGGTGATTGAAGTGAAATAAAAATCTGGTCAGCGATCAGACCTCGTAGATAACGGGCGGGAAACCCGGTGGTCGCTGGTTTGAATCCGGCCGCGGTCCAAAATTTCTTTTTCTTTGCCCAATTTCGAGTTTTAAAACTTGACAAGTTATTTATATTCTAGTTCGTGAAGCTTCAATAGTTTCTCTTACTGTTAGTAACCCCAATTCCATGTATCAATCGATGGTTTCAACTACTGGCTATACTTTCGTTTTTCGCAGTTGATCATCAGGCAAATACTACATCAATGCGCTGATCATTTCGTAATTATGACCAACTGACAGTATTGGCTCTACGTCTTCTAATAACAATGGGATCCCATTTCTTTTTCACATCTGTTCTCAATCCAATTATTATGTACAACTAACTGAATAAATGTAACTGTTCACGAGGCTACATTATTATTTACAGTGAATATATGACAATGTAATATCAATGTGGAATCGCACTGCAAAAAAATCGTTTTGTTTCGGTATGGTGTTAGAGTTAATGTAGACAGTAGTTTTTAAAAACCTCTATTTCATAAAGAAATGTGAGTTTAAATAATTAGATAACAGCGTAACAAAGGATACCAATGGAGCTAAGAAAAGACAGCACAATATAAGAAAGTACACATGGTCTCTTTCCCAAATCGTAATAAGTCACTCATTGCCTTGCTAGTCTTTTGAATTTCTGTTAGTAAGTGGCTTGTATTATCCCGTCGCTAAGTGTATCGAATTGATAGGTATCTATTGGAATATGAGCTCCTGCGCGTATGCCTCAATATTGCTGTATTTGAATTATGTATTAATGATGAATATTGGCTAGCAATGGAATCCAAGATGCGCGTTTCGTTCTATTTTTGACTCGTCAGCTGGATCCATCTACCTCAGAGAGTGAGCGGTGTTGTCCTCGCCAAGACTCGGGACCGGTCACTTCAAACGCTAGAGCGGTCGGCCTCGAGTTCGAGTCCTAGTGGGAACAACAGCCAGGTAGACCAGCTGGTGAGTCCCAAGTAGGACGAAACGCCCGTCCTGGGTTCCACTGCTAGCCACTACCTATCATAAATGTTAAACATAGCGAAAATTCGGACCTTTGAGGTTGTATGTATCCCACTCTTATCACAATAAGACAGATGTTTCTAAATACATGCGATATGTATTAGCATTATATATATATATATATATACCTTAAGTGGGCCTAATGAATTTCTATTACCGCTGGGATAAATCAAGGCAGTACTACGAATGAAAATACATGTTGGAGTAGTGTGATCTGTCGTTTTACGAAATGTCACACCAGTTCAGTTACAGTAACCCATTTTAAAACCTTTTTTAGCCAACATCCAGTAACTGATAATTGTTGAAAACACATGAATTTAGATTATAATGCTTGTATCTACATGGTGGACAGAAAAATGTATTTTATGCACGTCTGCGTAAGGTAATGAGGCTTACCAAACGAATCCGTATCCAGTATCTTATTACGGTAAGGAATTTCCGAACAAGTTATTTGGCTCGGAAACATTGGCATGTAAATTCAACACATCTTTCCATGATGAATCAGACAATCTATCATTATAAACTGCATGGATGTACAAACTTTTATGTGGTAGGAGATGCAAAAAGAAGACAAGAGAAGCATTAGATCCTATATGACTGGACAGACTTAATATGTCGAGGTTATAATCTGTATACATCTTACAGAATACCTTCGAATCAATAAGTCATTTTTTTCTTAAATGTTACGAGAAACGATCCATAAACAAGTAGTCAAATGACAGTTTTGATCAAATTTCCCGTAGTGTTTTTTTTACCGAAGTTATAGATTAACCACTATCGAAGTGGCGCGAAGGTTGACTTATTCCCTGATTTCCCGAGAAATGTACAGGAAAAAAGCATGTATAATACAGAGAATAAAAAGCAAAATAACTAAAGTTATTGAAAACTCACTTTGTAAGTCCTGAATGAGGGAAATTTATGCTACGAAATATTGGACAATGAAATGCATCATTAAGAATTCAATGCCTGGAGAAAATTACCACAGACATTTAGGTTTTGAAGGGTCTGTAGTACATCTAGGCACCAAATACTATCAGGTTGAAAATAAATAAACAAACAAAATGTAATTTGTTTGGTTGTGGTTAGCAGAAGAACCCAGGACGCGCGTTTCGTCCTACTTGGGACTCGGCAGCTTCTGCTAGCCGCAACCAAACAAATTACCGTAATTAACATTCAGGCAGTGTCGAGGCCTCGGCATAGGAGCCCAATAGAAGTCGAACCAATAAAACAACGGAAAATTCCAAGTATGTCAATAAACATACAAAATTTCCATATATTAACTGAATAATGTTCTACGGCACCAGCGAGTGTCTTCAGTCTTGTAAGTTTTGTTTTAACATATAGGCCTCCACCTGTTGACAAATGCCATTCCTGGGTCTTCGCTGTACCGATTAACAGCCGCATACTCACAGTCCATAGCTCAGCCATCTGTACACAGATAAGTTACAACAATCTCCCTTGAATTAGCCTTTTCACTTCAGACTAATAAACAGACTGCTCTTCTGGGTGATTTTTACAGTCTGGTGTATTTTCTTATCAGTACTTACACTTAGGTAATGCACTGATTAGTTGACATAGGCACGCATTAATTTATGTAGGACTGGTCACTTATAATAACAATACAACCAGCCTCTTAAACATTCAAGAGATTTTTGTTGGGCACTGTGAATAGGTTTCTTCAAAAAAAGACTCACACTAACACCCAATATGTAGCTAACAGTTAGAATTTTCATATTTTAGAGAGGTGGAATATCATGGCCAAATCCCTAAAAGCAGCTGTGTACAGCTTTCTGCATTTGTTTTATGATCATGCACTGAAAGACAAGGTTTATTTAATGTCGCCATTTCTAGTGTTTTGCATGGCATTTTTTGGTTTAGACTGCATTCGGAACCAAGTATGCTTTCAAGCAAATAAAGTTGCACTCCTTCAATTTCAGCTTAACGTATTCGAAGATCACTGAGAATCAGAGTGCAATAACCTATCTAAAAGTGGATGAATACAGGCCTTATATTCATAACTAAAAGGTTCCTAATTATGCATCCTAGGAGTTGTGAGGTAGCTGCGCTATAAACCATTTACTTCATAAAAGGCTGAGTCAGTGAGATATTTTAGACCTAGGTAGAAGGAAGAAGTGCACTTAGTTAACCTTGCTCACATACCTCATATGTCAACTAAAGGATATTCTTGACAATCCCAGATCCGTTGGTGATTGTTGACGTCAGATTCAAGAAGCAAATTTTGCTTCATCAGTGGATAGGAAAGTATTACACTTAGTAAAAAGTATAGTTCAGAAGATTTGTACAGTCTAAGATCTCTGTGCATCTTCATTACAGGGATATGTCTTTGAACATTGAATATCTTGCAGCACAGCAAAGCGATGCATGAATACTGTTACTTCTGTATCTTCTGGTCGGTTGTGCAAACTGATGACTGAGTGCATCTTAGGGTTGTTCTTGAATAACAGAAAATTTTCACTGACAATATGACAGAATCTGTATCGAGAATCGAAATCTTATCCCTCACAAAACAGTTTCTTTAGAGCTTTTCACATTTCTTATGACAAACGTAAATCCCATATTAGATTGTTTATTTGATATAGCACAAATTGAAATAGTATTATTTCGTTAGGCATAGAATACTAGCATTTCAGTCGTTTTAATGGGTCATCGAAATTACTTACATGAAGGTAGTTAGTGCACTTCTCTTCTATAGCTATTTTCATTTTCCCAAAAATTTAGAACTAGTATTGGCAACTAGGTGTGCGGTTACCAAGCACACTTGTGTCCTA